CGAAAAGCAGCTGTGCCAGTAGAAGAGTTTCCTGCATTTTCTGCATGTTTTGATAAATTTACGAATATGAGAGAAACTACAATAAATAAGTATAGGAATGTTTATAGATAAATTGTAGAGAATTAAATTCCCTTTCGTGTAGGCTAATAAAATATGCGGCGTTCCATTTAAAATTTTCGACTTTCTCCCCATTGAATATGGAGAAACGGTAATTCAATTTTTGACCAGTCTGTATAAGATACTCTGATACAATAAATATATGACAATCTATTTGAGAGCATCTGAACAGTAATCGAGCCAATTTACAGCTTTTTTGAATGAACGTTGGCTGGGATATAAGGTTTTAAAGAGCATGGTGAAATTTGCCAAAAAAACCTTAAAATCAAAATAACTCGAAAACGAAAAACGCTAAATACCAATAACTTTTATGAAAGTCAACATATTTTTTTACGTACAATTAAAAGGTGCAATAAAAACTATAGCATTCCATTTAAAATAACGAAGTTATGGTCTACTTCCGGTAGACCGGAAGTGGCAGCCATCTTGAAAATATTTTAGATCGAAAGTTCCGACTGAACAACTCGTACTACCAAAATTTCAAAAATGTACGAATACTGGAACCTAAAAAAGTTCTAACGAACCAGTTACGTGAGACACCCTGTATAATGCATGTTCATAGATAAACAGGGTATTCTTCACGTTACTAGACGGTGTTATTTAGCGTTTGATAGTTGTATATTTTAAAAAAAAACTTAATAATTTTTAAAAATAACCCTTATAATTAACATAAACTAAGAAGAAAATATTTAAAACAAAGCTGATGACTTGTAAATAATCTTCCAACCTACCAAATTATAAAAAACATATGTGAAATAAAAAAAATTCGAAAACCTTAAAAAAATTAAATTTTAATAAAAATAACAATATGTTTATGAGAATTATAAGGTTATTATTGTAGGTACAAGAGAGACTTGAAACTGTAGCTAAATTCAGGGTCGGTACATCCAACATGTCTGACTTTCTGATTACCCCCACCACATATGCACTCTAGATTATACAGGATGATTCACACAAGAAGCGACACAGAGCAGGGACATGTAAAGGACAATAAATTAAGATGATCTCTATACAAAATTTTATCCCTGAGGAGTTATAGGCCTTCAAAGTTGGGTCTTAAATTTTTAAAACATTCAATATCTTCGTAATACATTAAGCTAGAAAAACCAAATTTGGTATACGTTATGAGTGTACCGAGGGTATTAATTGATAGCAAGTTGGGACCAATTGCGGCATTTCAAAGAATTGATTAAGGGTGATGGTCCTCTAAATTTTAACAGATTTTTTAACCTTTTGGTGAATTTAATACATTATTACCTCATTTCATGTGGAATTTAATTCTAAACCTTTTTTTACTCTTATTATTTTTTAAAAAAACATTGTCGTTTTCATAAAAAACTTAAATATCTAAAGACATACACTGTGTTAATTAATTATCGTACCCGACGTCATCATTGCAAGTATGCAACCAATAACGCGATTTCCGTATTACAATACGAATACTGTGATATTGGTTGCATACTTGCAATGACGTCGGGTACGATAATTTATTAGCACACTGTATTTCGTTAATGCTACTTAAAATCATCGAAAATTCAGTAGTCGGCTGTGAAATTATACGTCAAACTTGACAAATAGGTTATAAAACCTTGTCAAATAATTTTATAACCTATTTGTCAAGTTTGACGTACAATTTCATAGCCGACTACTGAATTTTCGCTTATTTTAAGTAACATTACGAAATACGTGCCTTTAGTTATTTAAGTTTTTTATAAAAACGACAAGGTTTTTTAAAAAATAATAAGAGTAAGAAAAGTTTTAGAATTAAATTCCACATGAAATGAAGTAGTAATGTATTAAATCCGTCAAAAGGTTAAAAAGATCTGTCAAAATTTAGAGTACCATCACCCTTAATCAACCCTTTGAAATGCCAAATTTGGTTTTTCTAGCTTAATTTATTACGAAGATATTGAACTTTTTATAAATTTAAGAGCCAACTTTGAAGGCCTATAACTCCTCAGGTTTACAACATAGTATAAAGGTAAGTTACTTTAAATCATCTTAATTTATTGTCCTCTACATGTCCCTGCTCTGTGTCGGTTCTTATGTGAATCACCCTGTATATAAGACCTCAATGCAGTAAAAGTCTTCTTTTAGGAGACTTTGTATCTTTACCAAGATATATAAGGAACGATTTCGCTTCAAATCGCCGAGGTCGCTTGCGGGCGAGGCGATGGATTTGAAATAATAACACAAAGTCGTCTGTTTTTTAAGATTGTAGCACCTCGCCCGCAAGCGACCTCGGCGGAGTGAGAATAAAAGTCTTCTTATAGGTGACTTTCTATCCTTACCAAGATATATAAAGAACGATTTAATCTTAAATTGCCGAAGTTACTAGCGGACGAGACGCTGGATTTGAAATATTAACACGAAATCGCCCGTTTTGGAAGATAGTAGCGCCTCGCCCGCAAGCGACCTCGGCGGAGTGAGTCTTTTTAAAGGACTAGAACTAGAAAGTTTCCGGTTTAAAGTTTTTTTGTATCAAATTAAAAATTTTTCATATAACGCACACTCCCTTACCCGAATTAACCCGTTATATCGAGGTTTTTACTGTTTTGATTTAATTTTTTTCATGACAATAAAATGATATTTAATATACAAAATATGAAGCATCTTTGTGTCCCTGTTTATTTTCTATTTCGATAGGAGAGTTGTCGAACAGGTGTCAGTTCACGCGCAGGAAAGCTGAAATTAATTGGACCCTGCTGAAATGCGTTTCAGTCGCTTACAGGACTACGCGCAGTGTACCACGCTCGATTTCTATAAAAAACACCGCTTCTACGAATTGTACGTAATATTATCAACAAAAAAAAGTAAGTAAGTTTTTTAAGACTTATTTGACAGTTTATTATTAAAATAGAGATTTAGTTATTAAGTTTTATACAAAATTTGTAAATAATTTAAGAGTTGTGCGAGTTGCAACCGCATTATATAAATAAGTTATCGCCCCGGAAATGAGTCCCGTGTTGCTTAGCGGTTTGTTGTTATCTTTACACGAGTTAAATCTCAATACTTTTAAAGATGGAGCGAATATAAGTTACTTATTTACCACGCTATTAGCTTTTGCCTCATCTGTACTTAGATACTCCACTGGATGATCTTTTTGGGTCTTCTGGACCATCTGATGCTGTATTGTCGTCGTCACTACGCCTGTGATCTTAGTGCGATCTCCTCGGATTGCGCACTCTGTCTTTGAGACTGATCCACAGCATTGCTCTCTCCATGGTTCTCTGGTTTGGTTTGTTCTTATCCTATTGGGTTGGGCTGGATTTCGTTTGCCTTTTATTATCATAAAACAAGTGATATTTTTTCTCTGATCCATAATGGTTCATCTTTGCTCCTGATGTAATGTTTGTGATACTTAAGTATGAGTCATGAAGTGACTTTGACATAATACTTATTTCCCATGCTTCTCAATCCCAGTTTTTATATCCTTTCAACATTAATCCGAAGTCTTGTAATCCCTTCTTTGTTCCAAACCTTCTTTATACTTTATTGCTCTTCTTCCTGCTTCCATTTTAATTTTATCGAAATATTCAATATTGTATATAGTACCATTTATCTACTAGTTTTTTATCTATATTACCTCCAAGAACACCTACAATTCCAAGAAATGTTCTTTCCAACTTATAAGAGATATCAGTTTTTTTTTGCTTCTCTGCACCTAATTTTGCGACGTAGATTACTTTGCTTATCACAATAGGAATGAAAACCAGATAGTCCAGAGCAGTTAGCACGCAACTTAGTCTTCACTTTTCTTTAAAGTACATCTTCTTGTTCTCAAGGACTTCAATTACGGCAATTACAAACAGAAATATCAACTAATCAGTGTAGTCATGTTTTGTAAGTGTAATAGGAGGGGGTAATATGACGTCATTTATGGCATATTATAGGAATCCCACGCAATTTCACCACTATTGGTGTCGAGCTGGAAACTGATAGACCGGATTAAGATTAAAGCAACTGGAAACATCCTCGAAAAAGATTTGCTATTCGAAGATAAACTTCTGATTGAGAATTCTGGAGAATTTGTCATTGTCTCTCAATTATGAAGATATTTAAGAAATTTCTAATTATTTAAATCTTTCAATTTAATTTAAAATCTATTTTAATAATCAAATTATTTTTATTATTTTGAAGATGGTGTAAAATAGTTTCGCACAACAAAATAATCGAATTAGAAGTAATTTACATCCTCACATCGTTTTACCACAAATGATCCAAAACGGTTGTTGTCACGGAAGCAGTTCGAAACTGACCTCAATATCTTTTCTACCGGAAATATGGCCTTCGATTTGATTGTCTGTTTACGTTCTGAAACACTTCAACGGATGATCAAAAGCTCTTATATGTATATAGTTTATATTAAATCTCCAATTTATGTTTTATCATTGTTTTGTAAGATTACAAATTTATTTTGATTAAAATTCCCTGTAAAATGGTGGAGTATAAAGTCGATGAAGTGGCTGTAAATGAATTGAGACAGTCGATTTGTTGGGAAAACGAGTTGTTGCGGAGATGATTGAATGGAAATAATAAAATGGAATTGGTTTTTTTCATGCTGATCAATTTTATTTCTGTTCGTTAACAATTATTAATTAATTAATTTTATTTCGCCCAATAACACGGTCCAACATGTTCCAATTTTAAGTTTGGGTTCGATTTCTTGGCACAATTAAACATGCACATATTGCCATACGTTATTCCATCGCTTCCACAAACTGGATTGTAAACGTGATTGCAAGCGCACAATTCTTGTGATGAAGCCATTAAGAACAATGCAAACAATACCAAAAACAATTTTGGATTCATTTTGTTTAAAGACTGTGCACGAGAAACGTTTTTGCGAGCTTTTATAATAAAATTTTATCAAAATATGAAAATTTATTTATATTAGCGATTGTTATTCATGCATTTATTTTTAGTTTAAAAGAAAAATGTCGAAGAAGATAAGGAGAAATAGCGACGGTGATGATTCATTAAGAACGATAAGTTCCGACGATGTTTCGCAACTTTCAAAAAATTATTGTTGCACAAAATCGAATCCTGCTCATGGCACGGGAAGGATGATACATTTATTTCAAATGCTCGTTTTACCATTTATACCCATCTTAGCGCTTATTTTACAAACATCTCTCATCTTGCATAAAATCGTTTTAGAGCGACAAGAAGTCATGGATATTGACGCTCAGGTAAGTTGAAATTTTAGCCAATTTTCGCTTTTATTGGTATGCAAATGAAGCTTCACCTCGAGTTTCAGGATTAATTCAAATCACGATCGAACGTTTTATAATTTTACACCGATTACCAAGGCTAAGTACATGAAATTTCAGTAAATCATGATAAAATGGGTCTATTTCTACTTCGTATTGTTTTTTTTACGCTTTTATTGCGTGTTGAATTATTGATTTTTTCGTGTCTCGATTAATTAAAAACGTGCTATTATTAAACAATTATTTCTCATATTTGTTGATTAAAAAATTAGTATGAATTTTTTTTATTTGAGTAAAAAAAAAGAACGTTTTATCGGTTAAATTGGTCGATAATTTAATTTTGAACGACAGAAACCGCGTTAGGAAGATAAATGGTGACCACTATTACCACTTTTACCTGTTACGTTTTAATTCAGACGAATGTCGATTCTTTTCGTTTTATTTCTCGACGGATTATCGAGTCAGTAAAACGTAATAGAACTCGATAAACTTAAAACGTTTCTATCTAAAATCTAATCGAAACTAGAATTGTAAGAAAATTAAAAAATAAATTAATTAAAACCCGTGCGACGACAACAACAAACTTTTACTCTTCTTTTTCCACGTAATTTAGAAGCAGATATCTTCGTTGTCTTTAAAGATAGCGAAATATTAAATATACCGCTAGAAAGCGTGATCTTCTCTTTAGTTAAAAGCGGCAATATCATGATATCAACGGCTGAAAAAATAAAAAACGTAGCTGTGTAGCGACACAACCTCAATATTATCAAATTTCAAACACTTGTGTTTTTGGGGGGAAACTGCTTATGAAACCATACCGTCTATTAAAGTTATATATCACTGTATTGAGAAGAAAATTTCCAACATATTCTGTATAATCTCGCAGATTTTTCCATATCATATTACAAAGTTATGACGCCGTAAACATTTACATACGGTAATTATACGCGTTTTTTTTTAGTTTTGGGGGGGAAATGCTAATGCAACCATGCGATCTGGTAAAGTTATATATCATTGGATGGAGAAGAAAATTTTCTATAGATCCTGTATGGTGTCGGTGTTTTGTCCGTATCATATAAGAAAGTTATGACGCCGTAAACATTTACATAATGTAATTATACCTGGTTTTTGAACTTTTTAGGGGGAAACTACTTATGCAACCATGCCGTCTATTAAAGTTATATACCACTGTATAGAGAAGAAAATTTCCTACATATTCTATATGACCTCGCAGATTTTTCCATATCATATTACAAAGTTATGACTCCGTAAACATTTACATACGGTAATTATACGCGGTTTTTCAGTTTTTGGGGGGAAATGCTTATGCAACCATGCGATCTGCTAAACTTATATACCACTAGATGGAGAAGAAAATTTCCTATAAATTCTGTATGGTGACGGTGTTTTATCCATATCATATAAGAAAGTTATATGGCCGTAAACATTTACATAATGTAATTATACGTGGTTTTTGCAGTTTTTGGGGGGAAATTACTTATGCAACCATGCCGTCTATTCAAGTTATATACCACTGGATGGAGAAGAAAATTTCCTACATATTCTATGTGGACTCGCAGATTTTTTCATATCAAATTACAAAGTTATGACTCCGTAAACATTTACATACGGTAATTATACGCGGTTTTTCAGTTTTTGGGGGGAAATGCTTATGCAACCATGCGATCTACTAAAGTTATATACCACTGGATGGAGAAGAAAATTTCCTATAGATTCTGTATGGTTATGATTTTAATCCATATCATATAAGAAAGTTATGATGCCGTAAACATTTACATAATATAATTATACGTGGTTTTTGCAGTTTTTGGGGGGAAACTACTTATGCAACCATGCCGTCTATTAAAGTTATATACCACTGTATAGAGAAGAAAATTTCCTACATATTCTATATGACCTCGCAGATTTTTCCATATCATATTACAAAGTTATGACTCCGTAAACATTTACATACGGTAATTATACGTGGTTCTTGCATTTTTTTGGGGGGGAAATGCTTATGCAACCATGCGATCTACTAAAGTTATATACCACTGGATGGAGAAAAAAATTTCCTATAGATTCTGTATGGTGTCGGTGTTTTGTCCCTATCCCATAAGAAAGTTATGACGCCGTAAACATTTACATAATATAATTCAACGTGGTTTATGCAGTTTTTGGGGGGAAACTACTTATGCAACCATGCCGTCTATTCAAGTTATATACCACTGTATAGAGAAGAAAATTTCCTACATATTCTATATGACCTCGCAGATTTTTCCATATCATATTACAAAGTTATGACTCTGTAAACATTTGCATACGGTAATTATACGCGATTGTTTCAGTATTTGGGGGGGGAAATGCTTATGCTACCATGCGATCAACTAAAATCATGTACCACTGTAGAGAGCGGAAAATTTCCTACATATTCTATATGGACCCGCAGATTTTTTCATATCATATTACAAAGTTATGACGCCGTAAACATTTACATACGGTAATTATACGCGATTTTTGCAGTTTTTGGGGGGTAACTGTTTATGCAACCATGCGATCTACTACAGTTATATACCACTGGATGGAGATGAAAATTTCCTATAGATTCTGTATGGTGACGGTGTTTTATCCATATCATATAAGAAAGTTATGACGCCGTAAACATTTACATAATGTAATTATACCTGGTTTTTGAACTTTTTAGGGGGAAACTACTTATGCAACCATGCCGTCTATTAAAGTTATATACCACTGTATAGAGAAGAAAATTTCCTACATATTCTATATGACCTCGCAGATTTTTCCATATCATATTACAAAGTTATGACGCCGTAAACATTTACATAATGTAAAAATACGTGGTTTTTGCAGTTTTTGGGGGGAAACTACTTATGCAGCCATGCGATCTGCTAAAGTTATATACCACTGGATGGAGAAGAAAATTTCCTATAGATTCTGTATGGTGTCGGTGTTTTGTCCGTATCATATAAGAAAGTTATGGGGCCGTAAACATTTACATAATGTAATTATACCTGGTTTTTGAACTTTTTAGGGGGAAACTACTTATGCAACCATGCCATCTATTAAAGTTATATACCACTGTATAGAGAAGAAAATTTCCTACGCATTCTATATGATCGCGCAGATTTTTTCACATCATATTACAAAGTTATGACTCCGTAAACATTTAAATAATGTAATTATACGTGGTTTTTGCAGTTTTTGGGGGAAACTACTTATGTAACCATGTCATTAGGGATTGTAATCAAGAAGGGTTTTTATAATTCCGGGATTTAGACATCAGAATTCTCTATCCCGGGTAATCCCGGGTTTTGTGGGCTACATATGTAATTATAAATAAAAAGTGTTCAAGGTCTAATTCTAAGCATAATACCAAGCATTATAAAAAAATCTACCATCCATAGAACTATTTCTAAAGAAATGTCGCAGAACAAGCAATTTATCTATTGTTTTATCTCCTAAACGAGATCTAAAGTTTGTGTTTAATAAACTTGTTGGTGGAATAGTTTTCAAACATTCAAAAGCGAATTGAAGATTTTTATCCATGCTACCACCATTATTGAATATATCAATTTCTTGCATCAATGTATTGAAGAGTACATTCTTAGTTAATTGGACAGGTGGCTGTTGTTTGTTTAAAGCAGTATAAAGTTTTTCTTTTAGAGTCTGATTCGTTTCCTGCCGTTGAGGCTCCACAATTAGTAAGTCATCTTCATCATTTTCAAACATATTTTGTTCATCTTTTGATGTTAAACATAATTCTCTAATGTTTTGCTCTAATATACATTGTTGTTCTTTTGGTTTTTTGTATAATACATCTATTATTATTGCCAGCTGTAAACCATGTGCTAAACTTGATGTACTACTAGGTGCATTTCAATTATTCTTTTCGTTGTTCTTTAATGTTTATTTTGTTACCCTTTGTTTTTAGAATGGTAAACATATTTTGATCATTCCTATATGATTGATAGTTGTATTGAGAAAGATGCACCATTTTATGTGTGGGGTCGTGTTTTGACCAACGCGGATAGATATTGACAGGACAAGTTTTTAGTCGAAGAAAAAATCAGGCTTTCTAGTGGTAAATTTAATATTCCATTACCTTTAAAGACACCGAAGATATCGGCTTGTAAAGTATGTGGAAAAGGAAGGGTAAAAGTTTTTTGCTGAGTTAAAACGATTGAAAAGTCAGAGTTGTTTACGATCTTTAAATCCGTATTTTTCGCACAATATTGGATTCCGAGGGCAAACCAGTCGTAAACGAACGTAACCTGGGCGAAATTACTGGGGCTTAAGCCCGTTTTTGTCTTCGGAAGGATCGCATGAACGGTCTCATGATTCGACGAAATCCGTAAAAGTGTCCCTTCAGGGTCTTACGACTCCCGAGGTTACGACGACCTTTAATATAAAGAAAAGAGAACAACAAAACGAAAAGAAATTCATTAAATGAAAAAAAAAATTTGCATTAATTAATTTTTGTTTTAGGTTACAATTGCAACAGAATTAGGTAAAGTGGTGACAAAAATTCAATTGGAAAGGTCCGAAGTTGCTTTTTACGTTTACACGAATAACACAGAATCGCCCTTAAGGTAAAGAAATTTTTTTTGTAATTATAATAATAAAAAAATTAATTTCTTAAAGTTTCCAAACAAGAAGTGTACTTAATTTAATTTAAAACGATATTGATGTACTACCTATTAGCGTGCGCAATAAATTTTAATTTTCCGTCACGTCTCTCCTAAATTATACGTGAATTTCTAATTCTTTGTTATACTTAGATAATTAGTAAAGAGTAATTTCATTTATGTTTTTAGATTAAATTTAACGCAAACTTTTGTACTAACCGATTTAGCCTTAGAAAATATGAGCAGTTGGCCTATTGTACGATTACCAAATGAAGAAGGCGAACAAGAAGTTTATACAGATAAAGAAACCTTTCAAAAGAGGTTGCATGAATTTCGGTAAGTACTTGTAATAATTAATTTTGAAGGATTGTTATAATATCGTTTCGATTAAAATGCGAATGAGAAGTCGTAAGATAAGGGTATTTTAATAAACATTTGCTCGGAGTATGGGTGCATAAAATAAATATTTGTATCGGAGCTGACGAGGAGGAGCATCAATCTTGTTTAGTAGACATGGGGAATCAAAGTAATCATTTATTAGCTTGTATACTAAGATGTCATTACATAATCTGATCAAATATTGACAAACTTTGGGTTGGATGAATATTGTTATATTAGGGATGATTATTTTTGTGCACTTTGTGACTGATTTTGTCTGTGCTTTTAGAGATAGCGACATATTAAATATACCACCAGAAACAGTGATCTTCTCTTTATCTAAAACGGGCGAAAAAAAAAATATAGAACGTCGCTGTGTAGCGAAACAACCTCAACATTAACGAACTTCAAACACGTGTGTTTTTGGGGGGAAGCTGCTTATGCAACCTTGTCATCTACGAAAGTTATATACCACTACATAGAGCGGAAAATTTCCTACAAATTCTATATGGTCACGGAATTTTGTCCATATCATATAAGATAGTTATGACGCCGTAAAGATTTATATACAGTAATTATACGCGGTTTTTGCAGTTTTTGAGGGAGAAATGCTTATGCAACCATGCGATCTACTAGAGTTATATACCACTGGACGGAGAAGAAAATTTCCCATAGATTCTGTATGGTGTCGATGTTTTGTCTATATCATATAAGAAAGTTATGACGTCGTGAACATTTATATGCGATAATTATACCCAGTTTTTGGGAGGTAACTGTGTATGCAACCATGCTATCTACTAAAACTATATACCAATGTATAGAGCGAAAAATTTTCTATAGATTTTGTATGGTGTCGGTGTTTTCTCCGTGTTATACAGGGTGTTCCGGTGACTCGGGGCATAAAATTAACCTCATATACTAGAGCAAAAATGATGACGATTCGTGAAAAAAAATTATTATAAAAGTCTTCAAATGGCCAAGATATGGGCCATCAAAGTTCAGAAATTTTAACACATTTTTCTAAATATTTTCAATACCATTTATGGTAGAGCGTTGAAATTTGGTACAGGGTAAACAAATATCAAGCAAAATCATTGAACCAATTTTGACTTTGATCGGGCGGCGGCAACCATGCTATACAGGCTGTCCCTAAAATTTGTTTGCTCAGAACTTTTTTGTTCGCTCGTAACCCTACATTTATTTTTGTACTTTTTAATAGAAAATTTATTTTAGAAACTTTTATCACTCTTTGAAAATTTTGATAACATTGACCGTTTTCGAGTTATACGCGAAAATGTTAAGCTTTGATTTCAATCGTAACAAACAAAAAAAGGAAACATATTCCGTAAGATCTGAGTTGGCGATGACAATTGAAAAACGAACTGAGCTAATAACCATTATTTGCATAAATTTCTAAGTGCAGATTTAGTTAAATCCAGTGTTAATTTATTTTAGTTGAATAAAAGAATGTAATTTCCAAAACGATAAATTTAATTTTCACGGTAACAACAAACAAGAACATAACAAAAATTCTAACAAAAATATTAACAAGAACAATAAAATTATAAACAAATAGTAATAAATAAAAAAGAAGAAAAAAATACTAAAGCAGATGTTCAAAAACACTGCCTGATATCGCCGTCTTAAATTAAAGCGCACTCTGCGGAGAACATTGATCTCAGTTCGAAGTTGATCAAATGAATCAACAATTTGCAACCTCAGTTGATCAACTGAAGTTATTTCAACGCAGTAAACTAGTGGTTTAACGCGTTCCCATAAATAAAAATCTACAGGTGTAAGATCCGGCGATCGGGGGGCCAACTTATGGGTGCACCTACTCCTCGTCCAATCCACCGTCCCGGAAAACGTTCCCTCAGAAATTCTTGGACAGCCTGTGTGCTATGCGCAGGAGCACCATCATGCATATACCACATTGCTTGCCTTGTGTTTAAAGGAACGTCATCTAAAAAATCATCTAATTCCTCTAAATGTCGCCTGTATGTATGTCCATCCAGCCTTGATGGCAAGAAAACGGGTCCAATAATTACATCGCCCACAATGCCAGCCCAAACGTTAAGAGAAAATCTCCATTGTGATTTCCAAGTTTTCTTAAATCTTGGATTTTCGTCCGCCCAACTATGTAAATTTCTCAAATTGAAGATTCCATCTTTAGAAAAAGTGGATTCATCTGTAAAAAGCACTTTTTCTTAAAACTGATCATCAATTTGGATTTTGTGCTGCATTATTTGGCAATATTGCAGTCGCAGTGGGTAATCAGCCAGTCGAACTTCCTGAACTTTGTAACAATGAAATGGATAAAGCTGTTGCTCGTGAAGAACACTCCAGACAGTTGTTTTTGAAGTTAAAAAGTGCCTCGCCATATCCAAAGTACTAGCTGTAGTATTTTCTTCTACGTAGTCTAGAATATCTTCTTCTAGTTCGGGTGTTCGGACTGATCTTACGTTACTGTTGTTAGTAAATTTCGGCTTAAACGTCCCATTTTCCCTTAAACGGGTTTCAATCCTTAAAAATGTTTTTCGATTGGGCGCTCTGCGATTCGGAAATTTCTCCCGATAACGGTTAGCGGCTGCTACGGCGTTTCCATGACATTCCCCTAATGTCAAAATCATGTCAGTTTGTTCACTAAATGTGTAACTCTCCATTTTGAACACTTAAAATTAATAAAAACTTAACTAACAAAAAACTATCATTTATGTTTAAACGACATAAGCAAGTTGACAGCTCAATTTGTTTTTTTAATTGCCATGGCCAACCTTGACTTTTTCGAAGATTTTTTTATTTTTTAGTATTACCATTGAAATCGAAGCTTAATATTTTCGCATATAACTCGAAAACGGTCAATGTTATCAAAATTTTCAAAGAGTGATAAAAGTCTCTAAAATAAATTTTTTATTAAAAAGTACAAAAATAAATGTAGGGTTACGAGCGAACAAAAAAGTTCTGAGCAAACAAATTTTAGGGACAGCCTGTATAGCATGGTTCAAAATTGGTTCAATGATTTTGCTTGATATTTGTTTACCCTGTACCAAATTTCAACGCTCTACCATAAATGGTATTGAAAATATTTAGAAAAATGTGTTAAAACTTCTGAACTTTGATGGCCCATATCTTGACCATTTGAAGACTTTTATAATAATTTTTTTCACGAATCGTCATCATTTTTGCTCTAGTATATGAGGTTTATTTTATGCCCTGAGTCACCGGAACACCCTGTATAAGAAAGTTATGACGCCATAAACATGTACATATTATTAGCCACTTTTGCAGTTGTTGGGGGGAAACTACTTATGCAACCATGCCATCTATTAAAGTCATATACCAATATATAGAGCGGAAAATTTCCTACAAACTCTATATGATCACAGATTTTTGTCCGTATCATATAAGAAAGTTATGACGCCGTAAATATTTACATACGGTAATTATACGCGGTTTTTGCAGTTTTTGGGGGGGAACTGTTTATGCAACCGTGCAATCTACTAAGGTTATATACCACCGGATGGAGAAGAAAATTTCCTATAGATTCTGTATGGTGTCAGTGTTTTGTCCGTGTTATATAAGAAAGTTATGACGCCGTAAACATGTACAGGGTGGGCAAATTTGGGTGTTATTATAAGCTATCTCAGAAACTATAAGAGATACGAAAAAAGTAGGTGCCATGTCCCGGTTTCTTTTTTCGAGACTAACCCAATCCCGCAAACACCAAACCTCTATCTTCTTTTGTTTTTAAGTTATAGCCAAAAAGTCAAATTTTCGTGATTTCAAAAAATGCTCATATTTCGTTTATTTTTGAAATTAGAGAAATGGGGTTGATACGTTCTTAAGACACTTTTTTAAGTAGAATATACTGCCGTTGAAAAATTTTAAAAATATTTGATGATTTTTGAGATACAACACAAAGTTGTATTTTTTTAAATACAAACTATACTTGATTATGATGTTAATGAAAAGAGCATATTTTTAGCTTTCCAATGATGTATCGCATGTATGGTGTATTTGCGGAAAATAAGCGTTAATTTTCAATTCCAAAATAGTAAGCGCTAAAGTTCAAAATTTTGATTATAGTAGGCGGGTTCGGACAGTAATTACTACCTAATTGCTATATGGTTTTGCACGAATATGACAGAAAGTTGGTCTTGTACCATTATGCAGGATAAAGTTGGTTTTGTACCAACGAATAAAAACTTTGAATAGTTGATTTAAATTTCTCAGTGTCTTATCCCTGACTTTGTTCACCAATAAAAAATGATTTGTAGATAAAGTTTGTTTATTAAAAATACAAGAAACGTATTAATTAATGAATAATTAAATATGAACAACAACTTCAGGAACTAAACAGTCACAGACTGTGTCATCTTCTTCTACTAAACTTACTGGTTGTAAGGTTAGAACAGTTGGGTATCAATGAATGAAATCTTCGGTAGTATCTTCCCAGTTTTCCCCAACCATGAGATTTAGAAGTTTTTTCATATTAGCAACCTTTTCTTTTGAAATTGGGTGAGATAGAGGAAGATTAGGGATCATAAACTGAGCAGCGGACTTTCCATTGAAACGATGTTTATATGGGATATGGAGCCTTATCTATCATTTTCAAAGAATCATTTTTTAATTTTATCGCTTTATGTATTTAAAAATAATGAGGAATTTTTAAGCGGGAAACTCGTTTCGAAAAATTCATGAATGAAATGATCAGTAAACTCACGTTACTATAGTAACTAAGTGGCATTTAACGTTTTCCTCGCCTACTATAATTAAAATTTTGAATATTAATCTTTAATATTTTAGAATTAAAAAATAACGCTTATTTTCCCCAAATACACCATGCGTGCAATACATCATTGGAAAGCTAAAAATATGCTCTTTTCAGTAACACCATAATCTACTATAGTTTGTATTTAAAAAAATACAACTTTGTGTTGTATCTCAAAAATCATCAAATATTTTTAAAATTTTTCAACGGCAGTATATTCTACTTAAAAAAGTGTCTTAAGAACATATCAACCTCATTCCTCTAATTTCAAAAATAAAGCAAATATGAGCATTTTTTGAAATCACGAAAATTTGACTTTTTGGCTATAACTAAAAAACAAAAGAAGATAGAGGTTTGGTGTTTGCGGGATTGGACTAGTCTCGAAAAAAGAGACCGGGACATGGCACCTACTTTTTTCGTATCTCTTATAGTTTCTGAGATAGCCTATAATAACAGCCACATTTGCCCACCCTGTACATATGGTAATTATACGCTGCTTTTGCAGTTTTTGGGGGGAAACTAATTATTTATTAGCTTATATATTAAGATATCATTACATAATCTGATCAAATATTGACAAGCTTTGGGTTGGATGAATGTTGTTCATTAGATATGTAATTTAGATGATTATTTTTGTGCACTACCTTGACAAAATCCTCAAACAGCTTTTTTTTGGTGTTCTACTGACTATTTTGTCTGTGTCATAATTCGTCATAGGAGGAGATTTGAACAAGTTTGTTACTGAATATTTCAAGCCAGCTAGTTTGAACATGAAAAAAGTTATATCGGTAATAACAGAAAGAGAATCCGGCAATACTTCAGTATAGGAAAGAATATTTTATTTTTTATTACTTGATCTATCTCCTACTGTCACAGAAGCAAGAAAGTTACCATTGTTAGTAGAAATTGGGTTGCAGGAATCCAAAAACTCTTTGGAATGACAAATTTTGGGTTAATAATGTGTGTGAAAAAATGATCCAAAACTAAAAAACTTCATTTAGGTGTGTGAAACAGAAACAATTTGATAAAATTAAGCTGCGCTAAATAAAACTTACAATTTTCCATTAAGTATTAACTACGATATTGATTCTTTTTTAAGCAAAGCAAGTAGTTGGTATATATAGAGATATATTAAGTTTGAAATTCGCTTCAGAAAATGATCATCTAGTAATTCAACACTCCTCTCGTTCGCGATCATCAATCATAATAAAATTAATTGGTACTCAACCAGAGTGGTTTCGACTTTCTCCCTAACGCACGTTTAACTCGAAGCGAAAATTCGAATATCAAACGATGCATTATGTTAACAATATATTTCGATTTTCAGCCGAAAAATTCAATTGGAATCGAATATGTCCGACGTTTTTCGTTGGTACACCTCCGTGAACGAAGCTATGTTAAACCATCTAACTAATCAGATTAAAGAAGCCGATAGTAGCGGAGTTTGGAGGTAATATATTTTATCTTAAATATTTTCATTATCTATGTTGTTGCAGATACTTAATTGCGTTTAAAAATTTATTGCGGAGCATTGAAAGTACGGGAATATCAAGTGTTTACGGAGTCCATTATTTCGGGAAGGGATATTTAAATGGAACCACTTATAGTAATTATATAAAACACGACGCCATCGCAAAAGATCTTTTAAATGGTTCGTTAAATTACGTTCCCAAATTGAAAGCTATTTATAGAAACTTAACGAGGAATATGCCTAATTATGGATCAATTAAACTTAAGTATGTAATCATTTAAGTTTCAAATCAAATTTAAGAAGCGATTTTAAATAATAAAATCTATAAAGCTAAAAAATCTTTTCAATACAAAAAGAATTTCAGGTTTTATTTTGATATATTTCTTGTTTCAGACGAAACATTATCCTAGAAAATAAACAACGCGAGGCGAATTTAGGAGAGGCAATCGAGTATTTCGATTCATTAGCCGATTACACTGACGAATTAAGAAAGTTACAAAACGAATTAAGACACCAAATCAGGTTAAAAGAACATTTTCGATTTTATTTATTAATTTAATTTTTTTTAAATAAAAGGGATTATGTTAAAAGGAATTTAAACGAAGCGGCGAGTACTGAAGCGATTGGAATCGTTATATTGGTGGTTGTCTTGGTGGTATCGCCTTTAATAATATGGCTTGTAAGAAACGCGGTTAAAACTATACAGGTAGATGGTTTTGTGAATTTTTTTTCGAATAAAATTTCTTATTTATTTATTTCTATTTGGTGTGATTTAATAACCTTTTTAAAGAAGTATTTCTTAAGTTATACGCTGCTAATTTAGCGATGAAAGCGAAGGAATTAAAGATTGAGAAGCAAAAAAGCGATACTTTGCTGTTCCAAATGTTACCACCAAGCGTTGCGATGCAATTAAAACAAACTAAGCAGGTAAATTAAATTAAGCATTCTTTAAATTAATTAATTGATTTCGATTTTAATTAAAAAAGGTCCCCGCTGAATATTACGCTTCAGTTACGATTTATTTTAGTGATATCGTTGGATTTACAGAAATAGCAGCCATAAGCACCCCTTTAGAGGTATCAAAAGACATTTATATAATTAATAATTAAAAAGAAATTAATTTTAGGTTGTTACATTTTTAAATAAAATCTACAAACTCTTCGACGAACGAATTGAGTGCTACGATGTTTACAAAGTAGAAACTATCGGCGATTCTTACATGGTCGCATCCGGATTACCAGTCAAAAATGGTTTTATAACAAATTAATAAACTTAATCAAACTCATTTTTATCTTTTAGGTAATAAACACGTCAGCGAAATTTCCAGTATGGCTCTAGATTTATTAGCGGGCTCCTCAATCTTTAAAATACCCCATTCGAAATCACAAAAGCTCCAAATTCGATGTGGTATCCACACCGGTCCGGTTGTTGCCGGGATAGTTGGCACGAAAATGCCGCGATATTGCTTATTTGGAGACACGGTTAACACGGCTTCAAGAATGGAATCAACCGGGGAAGCATCCAAAATCCATATTAGTTTGGAAATGAAAACCGCTTTAGATGCAATTGGTGGGTTTAAATGCGAACACCGAGGATTAGTTGATGTAAAGGTAACACTTAATACTTAATTTAATACCCAAATAAGAACATAAAACATTTTATTTTGATAGGGAAAAGGATTAATGGACACTTTTTGGTTAACGTGTAAAGAAGGAGTCACGGAAAATCGTCAAGAATTGGATCAAAATCATTTTCACGATGAAGAAGACGCGGATCCGATTTTTTTGCGCAAAATAAAATGTAATTAGGTTAAAATTAATCAAAACGATTCAATCTATCCTCATTAATCTTTGTGTTATGTGTTACTTGCATCATTTAAACGTAAACGAACGATTGAGTGTTAGATGGGAATGCATCTATATAAACGTATCTATTGATGTAAATGTATCCATCGATATAAATGTGTTTCTCCATCATTAATCAAGTTTAAATGTTTTATGTGTTATTATTGTATTATTATCACACGATAAAATAAGTTGGAAAATAAATTGTACTAAAAAATTGATTCATTTCGATTTTTAATTAATCACTTCCGGTTTATTTCCGGGAATTACCGAATGAATTTTATCTCATGTAAAAGCTTAAAGTGCTCTCTTTAAGATGGTATATGATACGTTATATGTTATATAACAAAATTTCTTAGAAAAAAATTAAAAAGAAATTAGAGATCATTTCTAATTGACATTGATTTTTAATGAATCACATCCGGTTTATTTCTGGGAGATAACGAATGAGTTATATTTTAAATGAAAGTTTAAAATGTCTTTTTTAAGATGATATATAACAACCTATATGTTGTATAATGAAATTTCTTAGTAAGAAATTTTTGATTATACTTATTAAAAAAATTGGTGATTATTTCTAAATATCATCACTTCCGGTTTATTTCTGGGAGTTAACGAATGAATTACATCTTAAATGAAAGCTTAAAATGTTCTCTTTAGAATGATATATGATAACTTATATGCAATATGATGAAATTTCCGAAAACGGTGCTATCAAAGAAAATATTTAAAGTTTAACAAGTTTGGGTTGTTAAGAAATAAGTTATATCTCAAATACAAGATTAAAGTACCCCCTTTAAGATGATATATGCTAACTTATATGTTATAGAACAAAATTTCTTAGAAAAAAATTAAAAAGAAATTGGAGATAATTACTTACATCGATTTTTAATGAATCACTTCCGGTTAATTTCTTGGAGGTAAAGATTGAGTTATATCTTAAATAAAAGCTTAAAACGTCCTCTTTAGAATGATAATATATAATGTTGTGTTACTTTAGTTTTAATTCAATTCAAAAAAGCTTTTTTCGTAAACGTTGCTTTTTTGACATTAACCTAACCTATATTTGAATATTTGAAATAATAAAATTTAACATAATTTTCCAAAATAGTATTAATCAAAAAAAATCTTTTTATATTAATTTAACGTTATAAATCTTTTAATTTAAACAATAACCCAAAAATATTAAAATTTTTATTTCAAAAACACATTTTGACAACTTGACGTTTGTCATTTTGAGTACCGCTGATGTACACATAACCTCAAAACCCGATTCATTTTTGACAGAACATAAAAAATCTTTTTAATTTCGGTACAATTCGCCCCAAAAAGTCGTTTTATCTTTTTGTACATCATCATCACCGTTTGCATTTACAAACCATTATAAAGATTGTAAAGATATGTAAATTGCGGTATCGTAATGATGCTTTATATTACGGTAAGTGTCATAAAATATAGCACTGACGTGGCTTTAAAAATTACTTAGCGCGTATTTCGACTGAAAGTTTCTTCGTTGGTGAACGCAAAAATACAAAGAAAAAGATGGAAAGGCGAAAGACCGCTAAAGCTCGAGAAAATGAGTCGCTTTTGATGGAAAATGGGGACGCGTCTCGAGTTACAACCACCGGTTCTAACCTACAAGGTGATAAACAGAATATTGCGTTGTTGTTCTTTCTGTATACTTTACAAGGAATTCCATTGGGATTAAGTGCTGCTATTCCCATGATTTTACAAAATCGTGGGGTTAGTTATAAACAGCAGGTAAATTTTTTATATAACTTTTTCTTCATTAAAATTATTATTTCATCCGCTTTAAACAATCTAATTCATTTAATTTAAACACTTTTAATTACAAAAATAATTGTAAAAAAGAAATTCGCGCGTATACTAACTGAACTGATAGATGGCGCTCAAAATTCGCGGCAAATTCAAATTTATTACAATTGAATTAGGTAATAGTATATTAAAAAACAAGTTTCAAAAATGAGTGCTTTAAGTCTTATGAAACGTGTTTTTTTTATGCTATTTTTTGTAATTCGCGTTTTTATCATTTTTTTAACAAAAATAAAATAAATTTTGACAATGTAGGGAAATAGGTATGTAGCAGTTGGTTACACTTAAAAATAGAAATTTGAATTGACAATTAGAAATTGTCAAAATACAAAATGTATTTACCTAAAAAAATGTTTCATGTACACCTCTCAAAATAAGAGAAATTGCGAATTACAAAAAATAATAATAATTATTTTGATTACAGGCTGAATTTAGTTTTGTTAATTGGCCATTTAGTTTAAAACTGTTATGGGCCCCAATAGTGGATTCAATGTTTTCATCAAGAATTGGAAGACGTAAAACATGGTTAATTCCAACTCAATATTTAATAGGTGGATTTATGCTGTTTTTGAGTCACCATGTCGATGCGTGGTTAGGCGATAAAGAGACAACCCCCAACATTGGGATTTTAACCCTACTTTTCTTCGCGTTAAATTTCCTTGCTGCCACTCAAGATATAGCGGTGGACGGTTGGGCTTTAACAATGTTAAAAAAATGTAACGTCGGGCACGCTTCGACTTGTAACAGCGTGGGACAAACCGCCGGATTTTTTTTGAGTTACGTTCTATTCATGGCCTTGGAATCGCCAAGTTTTTCAAATACTTATCTAAGAACAGTTCCAAAAGATGAAGGTAAAACTTAAATTTTATGTAAAAAGGATAAAAACCAATTTTTTTGTAGGAATTGTAACCCTTTCGGGATTTTTAGTATTTTGGGGTTGGGTCTTTATTGTAATAACAACAATTGTAGCCGTTTTTAAAAAGGAAACTCAAAGTGTACATTCCGCACACGTCGAAGGAGAAGTCGACAGAGACATAAAGACTGCATATTTGTTTTTGATACAGATACTAAAATTGAAACCGGTTCAATTATTAGTTGTGATATTATTAACAAGCAAAGTATGATATTTAAGGGGGTATGCCAACTTTGAAATTTGAAAAAATGTGTTTAATGTGTAATTTAGACTGTCTAGAATGAGAATCCATTACTAATTGAAAATTCCAAGCCCCCTATAACTTTTTGTCTTTCCTTTTTACTCAATTATACACAATAAGTTGCTCTGAGTCTTAGTCTTCATGTCCCTGCTCTATGTCGGTTCTTATACTAATAATGTTTATTGCCTCAAAAACAAATATTTACATAAATTCATAACAAATATACACATCAAGACAAACGGATCATTTTATCGCAATAAGCGATATCTTCCAAGAGACCCAACTGATAACAGTGTATATGTAATTTTAAACAAATAATGATGGCTACCAAAAAAGTAATACTAAATGATGTGCTAATAAAACTGAGCGAATGAGCTAATGGATCGACAGTCAGTTACTACAAGGAAGGAAATAGACACGAAAAAGTGCAGCTAAAGATAGATGATAGGCAGACTAGAGAAGAAAACAAACACGTATAGGTCAAGAAGAAGATAGTTGAAGAGATAGCAGATGGCGCCTCAAGGCATTTTTAAAACTTATTACACTAGCTACAGATCGTTCCACAACGCAATCGACTGCACTGTAAAAGATCTGGTGGATTTCAGTACTATGGACTGGAAACATGAGTGTAGAGTCCGACATTGATCGAGTGGGTAAGTCATGTGATGCTAAAAAGTGAAAATTGTCAGACAAATAAGCATGAGTGCGGGTATGGACAATTTTGTATAACATAGTAAGGGGCGAGTGCCAAATGCAATGGCTTACGTTTTATCTGGATTCAGGGTAAGTCCATGACGTCTAGATCAATCAATTATGCTAGAGAAGTCGTTAAGATGGGAGGTTGTTAACAGTTGACGAAATATAAAGTTGAAGGTCATCTGCATATAAATGATAGTTACACGAGATCACTAATACTATTTATGAAAATTGAGAAGAGCAAAGGACCCAGCACACTGCCCTGGGGAACTCTACATTTGATGTTAACAGGAGAAGAGAGTACAGATTACACGCGAACACGTAAAGACCGATAGGAAAGGTAGGACTGGAATCAAGATACACAAGAAGAGGTAAAACCAATAGCAGAAAGGTCATCAACATGGGACGGAGATTTAATTTTTGGGGTAGGAATAACATGGGCGATTCGCCAGATTGGCGGAAATATAGACTGTTCAAAAGAACAGGTGAAAATATGTGTTAGGGGATTAATAACTATATCCAGAATGGGTAAGAGGAATCTGAGTTCAATACCATCTGCTCCGACACTAATGGACTTGGAGTAAGTTAAAGCATTCCGATAGATGCAAGAATTTCATTAATAGTATTCTGCCTAGTTATGTTACCAACCACCACAGGAGGATCTGCAAAATACTCCGCCAGAGCAGCAGCATCAAGAGTGGGAGACTCTATAACATCAAGTGATCGCATTGTTTTCCAAAATGTCTTATGAGTGGCTCCAGACAATCTCTAACAGTAGTGGAATAATGTTCCCAATTGGCAGCAGAAGACTTAGCACGATTGCGCTCCTGCATGGGGGGGTGCCATTTAAAAAAATGAAGTTGATAAAAGTGTTGATAAAGTGACCAAACGATCTTGACAGCCGTTCTCGGCACCAAAACATACTCCATCATGTTGTTTAAGCATGTACTGATTTTTTGAACAAATGTTCGCTGGAGCAGATTTTTCTAGAAAAATTCGAATAACTCGAGAACGGCTGAATCAAATTGCAAAAAGTAAAGTTATTCGTAAACCTTGAAAACAGGCAAATCTAAACTTGTAAAAATATACAGGAGTTCTATTTAAAAAAATTAAGTAGGTGGCGACTTCCGGTATAACCGGAAGTGCTAGAAATTTGAAAATATTTTAGTCGAAGAGAACGCAATGTATATGTTATGTCAGTGGTTTTTCTAAAGAAAACCATAAATGGCCTTTCCACTCAGTTGGTATACCTCATTAATATGTGCCTCAAACAAGGAGTATTTCCAAGCGAAATCAAGGTGGCTAAAATCATCCCAATTTGTAAAAAAGGCGATACAGATAAGGTGGAAAACTTCAGACCAGTCTCTATTTTACCAGCAATTGCAAATATTAGCAGCGATTCACTACGAACAAATCGTAGTGATTAATGAGGAGAAGACGCAAAAAATTATGTTTAATAGAGGACATGAGAAGGCAGAATGTATAAAATTTTGGGGTTATATATAGATGAGGAACTCAAGTGGTCTATTCACGTAGAGAACTCTGCAAAAAAAGTTAAACGGGGCAATTTATTGCATAAGGAGAATCAGAACTATTAGTACCTTTGAAACATATTATGCTAGCTTTCACAGCCGAGCAACTTACGGTATCTTTTTCTGGGGAATGCCTTCGGCTGCAGAACGAATTTTCACGAATTTTAATAGTTCTCGAAATTTGATTATTCAACTTCCGGTTTGAATCTGCTTATAAAAACCAGGTGTTTAGAAAAAACTCTTAAAGTTATCTTCTAGGTAGAAAGGTGCATATGTTAGCATACGCGGATAACATCGTGGTCATGGCGAGAGAAGCGGCGGAGATGAAAGATATGATAAAGACATTGGAAAGATATTTTAGGGGGAAGGGGCTGGAAGTGAAAGTGGGGAAGACAAGGATGATGAAGTTTTGTAAGGGGGGGAGAAAAAGAACAGAAAACTGGAGATGGGAGGGAAAAGAGATTGAGGAGGTTAGGGAGTATACTTACTTGGGGTATGTGTTCAGGGAGGGGTCGCATGTGATAGCTATGGCAAAAAAGGCGAATAAGGTGATGGGACAAGTATGGGGTTGGGGAAGAGAGTCTTTGGAAGGAATGTGGCAGCGAGGAAGATTATGTTTGAAGGTCTGGTTAGCAGTGTGATGATGTATGGGGATGGAGAGAGCAGGCAATGCTGGAGGACGTGCAAGCTAGATACTGGAGATGGGTGCTTGGGGTGGCGAGAGATACACCGGGGTATATAGTGAGGGAAGAGGTAAAGGTGGATAAGGTCAGAGTGGAGGGGGGCAGGAGAGCAGTGAAATATGAAGAAAGAATAGAAGGGAGGCCAAACTGCGGGATCTTGGGGGAATGCTAGAGGGAAATTAGAGAGGGAAAGATCAGATATGGGAAAGGAGACAGAGACAACTATTATAGACGAGCGGGCTACTCGGTAACTGAGATAAATAGTAGACGAATGGTGGGTAGGGAGATGTGGAGGGAGTTGAGAGATAGGGACCGAGATGTGCAGAGACAGGAAAGAAGGACACAAATAAAAGAGGGGAGGTACAACGAAAGGTACAGGGACATAATTACGGAGGGGCTGCCTAGATACTTGTTATTGGAAGGAGATGAGGAAGGGAAGAAGTTGGTGGCTAGGTTCCGTTGTGGAGAGCGAACAGAGACTGGATGGCCGATGAGGAGAGGTGGTGTAGGCTATGCAGGGAGGAATGGGAAACGTTGAATGGGTGCAGTGAGTTGAGGGAGGAGGAGTTGGACCGAGGGCAGATCTTAGGAGAGGGGAAACGATGGATGAGAATGATTGTGGGGGTAAGGAGACAAAGGGAAGGATGAGGGGAGGATTGGGCCGAGGGTATGGAAATGGAGGAAGAGGGTAGAGGGTGAAAATAATATACTAATGACATATATTATATTAGGATGTATTAAGGGGAAAATTGTAATTATCAAAAACAATAAAATGCTTATTATTATCTTTATTTTTGGGATCTCCAAGGTGGCATACCCCTTTAAGAATTAATTAAGGATATTAATTGTTTTAATTTTAGATGGGATTTTCTGCCACAGATAGCGTAATGACCTTGAAATTAGTTGAATCTGGTATTCCAAAGGAACGATTGGGTTTGATGGCGGTTCCTTTGATACCGTTACAAATCGCTTTGCCTTTAATCATTTCTAAATACACAACGGGACCACGTCCTATGGACATTTTTATTAAATTCATTCCTTATCGGTTATTATTTGGGTTTGTGGCTGCCTTTTTGGTTTGGATCACGCCCATTTTAGCACCTAATGCCACAGAGAGTATTCCATTAATTTATTATGCGCTTTTATTAATCTGTTATGTTTTGCATCAGGTAACTTAATTTTTTATCAAATTGCTTTTATCAATTTAATATTCTAATTTTGTTTTAGATTTGTGTTTACAGTATGTTTGTATCAATAATGGCATTTTTCGCAAAAATCAGTGACCCCATAGTCGGGGGGACTTATATGACGTTATTAAATACTTTAACGAATTTGGGTGGAAATTGGCCAGCGGCTGTCGCTTTATTTTTCGTCGATCCGTTAACGCGGAAAGAATGCATTGGAGGAACTGAAGGTTATGATAATTTATGTAGGGACACTATCGAACAGGAACTTTGCGTTAGTAAAGGAGGAAAATGTGTGATACAAATCGATGGGTATTATATCGAAACGCTGATTTGCGCCGTTGTTGGATTTGTTTGGTTGGCTTGGGCGAAAAGCCGGATTAAAAGGATACAATCGTTCACTGATGATGATTGGAAAATATCGAAACGATCGAGATAGTGCACAAAGATGTGGTTGTTATGTTGTTTGTGATGGCACGGTTCTTTTTTATTAAATTTTTCATATTTCACCGGCGACGTGGTTAGAAAATTATTTTTTATATACATGTTACAATGAGAAATAGCTAATTATTTTGCGTTATTAATTTATTCGTTTTCGTTTATCGAATATGTGACAATATCTAGAGTTTTTTGATGAACTGTACAAAATCTGGTTGAATCAATAAATGTGAATAGGTTTTTAATTTGTTTTTCACTTAAAATTTTCCTTGAGTAGATTAAAAACATTTCAAAGGCTTTTAATCTAATCTTATTATAAAAAAAAAAAAAACTAAAAGTATATAAATCCATTTCGTAACACTAATATCTTATAAATTGATTTAGTTACAAACAAGATGAATCAAATTTTTTATTTCATCTTTGCGTTATTGGTAAGACCACTTAGTTATTTAATTATAAAAAGATTTATAACAAAAATTAATTTGTTTAGGTCCCTTCTTCAATATCATTAGACCCTAGTTACTGCACTGAACAAGGACAAGTGTGTTCAAGCTGCAATGAATTAGCATACTGTTTAGAATCACCTGAGGGGTTTGAAATAGATCATATGGGTTATTGCGACGAAGGCAAGACTTGCTTACGTAGAGATTGCACGGAGGAGAAAAATCCTTTATGCCAAGGAGATTCTAATTTAGCGTTTCCTTGCCACGATGAGGGTATGTTCCCCGATCCATACGATTGCCACAAATATCATTTTTGCGTAAAAGACGGTGAAGGAAATTTGGTGCATTACCCCGCAACGTGCAGTAAAGGATATGGTTATGATTACGATAGACTCGCATGTACCAAAAAGTTGAGGAACAACGTTTGCGAAGACTGGCCCATCGATTTATGTACAAACTTAGGTGAAACCAAAGCTTTTTCTGCCGATAAAAGTTACTTTTACGTTTGCGCTGATTACGACGAAACGAATAACATGCTTTACCCCCATTTGTATGTTTGTCCAAATGGTGGCTCTTATGACAATTATAAATGCAGTACTACTATAATAACAAGTACTGAATCTACCCCTCCTAGTATTTACTATTAGAGTATAAACTCAAATTAAAAAGATAAATTTATTTTTATTATCACTTGTAAAACATTTTAATAAAAATATTAAATATAAAATTATCTATCGTTTGTCTTTTAAGTACCTCAACTTGATTATGATTGGGTAAAGTCTGAAAACGCACAGCTAAATCCGAAACTTTCTATTTCTGTGTCTAGTGTTAGTTCTAGTTTTAATTGTTATTCAGCGCTAGATTATGTTTTTATTAAATTAACATTAGCAATAGAATGAGCACTGCTCAATTAGACACGAAAGTCTACACAACGAAAAATATAGTGATGATAATTTCTAGTACATTTCTGAAGTGATACCCTACATTATTGCGATATTTGAATAAAAATGAAATTAATAAGAAAGCTGATAAGATATGTCAACTTATTTCGATCCAAGAAAACTGATCTAACTAACGAAGCAACTCTAAAAAGAGGATACTTTAATTAATAATTGGCGATATTTCCACAACTTTCTCAAAAAACTACAAGTTATTTTTCAAAACGGGTTGGATTATTGGAAAGAGGACACTTTTATTAACACTTTGGGAAATTTTCATACTCATATTCCAAGAACTGGATTTTATACGAATTTTTAAAACTTAATCTGCGAAAATTGCCAAAATTCGAAAAAATTGTTTATTTCAAAAATTTATTTCTCAAGAACTAAAAGTGATTTTTCAAAACAGCTGTTTGCATTAAAAAGAAGATGCTTTAATTAATAATTGGTGATATTTCCACAAGGATCCTTTAAGAAATTAATTGTATAGCGAATTTTGAAAATTATCGATGATAATTGCAACATCGAAAATTTTATCAAAACTTCAAATATTGTTTTCTCAAAAACTAAAAGTTATTTTTCAAAACGGGTTGGTTCATTGGAAAGGGGACACTTTTATTAACACTTTGGGAAATTTTCATACTCATATTCCAAGAACTGGATTTTATACGAATTTTTAAAACTTAATCGGCGAAATTGTAAAATTTGAAAAAATTTTCGATAATTTCAAAAATTTATATCTCAAGAACTAAATGTGATTTTTCAAAACGGAAGAGTAGATACTATTTAGTAAATGACAATATTGATGGCAGAAGTCTAGATACTGCTTACAGAAGGAAAAATAGTGCTGGCGGAAGAATAAATACTGCTTGCATACAACCATATTAATTACAGAAGATTCGGTACTGCTGAAAGATAACGAGATACTGCTTACATATGACTATATTAATTGCAAAAGACTCGATACTGCTTGCAGGATGTTAGACACAACTAGCAGGACATTAAGTACTATTAACAGAAGACTAGATACTATTTCATAAGACTAAATACTGGTTGAAGAAGATTAGATACTGTTTGCAGATGACTATATTGTTAGCAGAAAGCTGGGTGCTGCTGAAAAAACTAGATACTGCTGTCAAATGAACACAAAACTGTTGACAGAAAACTGTATACTGTTTCTAGATGATTACATTGGTTGTAGAAGTTTAGATACTGCTTGCAGAAGGATAAATATTACTGACAGAAAAATAAATACAAATACTGCTTGCAGATGAGTCTATTAATGTTAAAAGACTGAATACTGCTGAGATATGACCAAATAATTCAACCCGTCTTAAGATTTGAGACGAATTTGAGACACAAATCGTTTCTTCATTCTCATAAATAAAGTTATTTAGTACTAGATTGTTGTATACCTTTATTGAACTAAAAGTAGAACTAGAATCATTCGGGTTTAGCCGAGAGTCTTAAGATGGCTAAACCCAAATGTTTCTAGTTCTAGGTCTAGTTATTATCATATAAAAAATTAAAATAAAAAATTGAAATAAATATAAAAATATCTATCGTTTGTGTTTAGCTTTTTTACTAAATACACCACCTCGATTATGATTGGACGAACGTAAATACCTTCCATATTGATCCATATTATCTAAAAACCGAGATCCATCTTGAACAGGATTTTCTCTTAAAGAAATTGCGTTTACATTTCCATTTTTCTCCTCCAAATTATTTTGATTACTTTCAGTGTGTCTATTTAAAGCGCTATCGAAACTTCCTTCCGAATACAAATCGTTTTGATAACCAAGATACGATTTCGGTTCTTCACGAAAATTATTATGACCAATGAACCCAATTTCATTTTTATATCCAGGCTCATTTTCGAAACCGTTTAAATTCGTTTGTGGAACATTATATAATGTATTAGGGGTAGGATATTGAACATTTTCGCTTTTATCATTCGACAAAGACATTTCGTTTTGAACGTTACGCGTTTCTGTTATTGAATAATCAGGTTTATTTTCAACAACGTGCAAATCACTTGGACCTATATTAGAAGTTACGTAATAATTTTGTTAATATATATTAAGGAATTTTTTTACTTGTATAATAAGGGTTTTTTGTAAATGTTTCTTGTGGGTTGGTTAAGTATCCCACATAATTTATAGGGGGAAGGGTTTCTTCTACGTTTGGAGCTGTCATGCTGGTATATTTTACTGAAGGATCTAAAAAGTTGTGAAATTAATACGATTTTTTTACATTAGGTTAATAATTAAGATTATGTCTAAGACTAGCTTCTACTGGCAGAAGATTAGATACTACTGGAATATGACCAAATATTGCCGGCAGAAGAGATTTTCTATGCAAAAGGCAGGAAGATGGTAATAAAACACTTGAAACTGCTTACAAAATACTAAATACTGCTTGGAAAAGGCTAAATGCTGCTTGCAATATACTAGATACTGCTTGTAGAAGACGTTTTCAATGCAAACGACAAGAAACTGCTAATAAAACACTTGACACTGCTTGCCAAATACTAAATATAGCTGGCAGAAGACTGGATACTACTGATAGAGGACTAGATACTGCTAGCAGATGATATGTTCAATGTAAAAGATAAGAAATTGCCAGTAATACACTTGACACTTCTTACAAATCACTAAATAGTGCGTGCAAAAGTCTAAATACTTGTGGCAAAAGGCAAAATACTGTTGGTAGATAATATTTTCAATGTAAACGACTAAAAACTGCTAATAAAACACTTGACACTGCTTGCAAAATACTAAATATAGCTGGCAGAAGACTAGATACTGCTAGCAGATGATATGTTCAATGTAAAAGATAAGAAACTATTAATAAAACACGTGACACTGCTTGCAAAACACTAAATATTGCTTGCAAAAGGCTAAATACTAATGATAAAAGACAAAATACTGCTGGTTGAAGTCATATTCAATATAGACAACTAGAAACTACCAATAAAACACTTGACACTGCTAGCAATAGACTAGATACTGCTGATAGAAGACATTTTCAATGGAAACGACTAGAAACTGCTAATAAAACACTTGACACTGCTTGCATAATACTAAATATAATTGCCTGACGACTAAATACTACTAATAGAGGACTATATACTGCCAGCAGAAGATATGTTCAATGTAAAAGATAAGAAATTGCCAGTAATACACTTGACACTACTTACAAATCACTAAATACTGCGTGCAAAAGGCTAAATACTGGTGGCAAAAGGCTAAATACTGCTGGTAGATAATATTTTCAATATAAACGACTAAAAACTGCTAATAAAACACTTGACACTGCTTGCAAAATACCAAATATAGCTGGCAGAAGCCTGGATACTACTGATAGAGGACTAGATACTGCTAGCAGATGATATGTTCAATGTAAAAGATTAGAAACTATTAATAAAACACTTGACACTGGTTGTAAAACACTAAATATTGCTTCCAAAAGACTGTATACTACTAATAAAAGACAAAATACTGCTGGTAGAAGACATTTTCAATGTAAACGACTAGAAACTACTAATAAAACACTTGACACTGCTTGCAATAGACTAGATACTGCTGATAGAAGACATTATCAATGTAAACGACTAGAAACTGCTAATAAAACACTTGATACTGCTTGCAAAATACCAAATATAGCTGGCAGAAGACTGGATACTACTGATAGAGGACTAGATACTGCTAGCAGATGATATGTTCAATGTAAAAGATAAGAAATTGCCAATAATACACTTGACACTTCTTACAAAAATCACTAAATACTGCGTGCAAAAGGCTAAATACTGGTGGCAAAAGGCAAAATACTGCTGGTAGATAATATTTTCAATGTAAACGACTAGAAACTGCTAATAAAACACTTGACACTGCTTGCAAAATACCAAATATAGCTGGCAGAAGACTGGATACTACTGATAGAGAACTAGATACTGCTAGCAGATGATATGTTCAATGTAAAAGATAAGAAACTGTTAATAAAACACTTGACACTGTATTGCACACAAAGAGGTTGTGATAGGTATTTATAGATTGAAGCAGTATACTGAACTTCATCTTCTGATTTATCGAATGTGGTGAGAGTTCTATTAGAGGAGATTGACAACTTAGGAAGCCTCTTTTTTGAATTGTTCTTCTTTATAAGCAAACCTGGGTTGATTGCAAAACTTTCTTTAAGAGTTTTGTCTTTTTACTAACTTTGGCAAAATAATCTTAGAATATTCTAAAGTTGAGAAAGAGTACGATTTGAATGATAAATTGAATTTTATGAGCAAGAATTGACGAAAAAGAATTAAACTTATTTTTAATTCTTACCTAAATTATGTGATATAAGCATATCATCCTCAATATTTTGATCAATGGCATTATTACTGAAAGTAGTCACATTATTTATGGTACTCAATTGATTTTGACCATCACCATTACGATCATAAAACATTTTTAACGATACTCCACCGCCTTCGTTGCCTTGAAACTGAAATAACGGCCAAGTATTTTCATGTTTTGAGGATTCCGATGAAGTTCGCGTTGTTGGTAATGTATAATAAAGCGGTAATACAGACGGAGAAGACAATCCATTTGAATTAGCTTCGAGGGGTTTGTTATAAGGCTGCAAAGCTAGGTACAATTTTCCTTGGTCTTTAGCAGCGGGGGAAGAAGCTCCATTATTAAACGATTCTTTAAGATATATACTAAGTTAATTAATGATTTACTAAATTTAAAAAAATTACCTGATTGTAATTGAGTCATTAATTTCGAAAAATTATTATTGCCAGTAAATTTAGTTGCTTTAGTATTTAATGTTGGTGATAACGCAGTCGTAGTGGTGGAATTTGTTGTGGTTTTTGATCCACCAAGGAATCTTTTAAATCTTTTATGTTTATAATCGACCATTTTCTTTTGAAGACTTTTTTTCCTCGCTTGAATCAAACAACTCAAGCATATTAAAATAAAAATAAAACGGAGCAATTTCATCTCTAATTCTACGTTATTCATTAAACATGGTTGGATTAGAAAAATAATCTTTCAACCTGACACCATCAAAAACGTCAATTTTGATTATCCCCAAATCATATTTATTTATTTAGAATACACCGATTGTTGATCGAAATTCTCGGTGTAATTCGATATAATCTCTTGAAGTTTATCTTCTCCGGCTTCAAACAAAGCAAATCTGTTCTTATTTTCGTAATAAACGACCGTTCTTAAACACGCACTGTTTTTGATGCACTTATGACCACAAACTCTTTTATTGCAATCGAATTTCGTCTCTAAGCGGGGGTTAAAGCTTCTTCTGCGATATCTTTCATCAAGATCCGGCATCCCCCATTCAAACTCCGGTTCGATTAACCCCAATAAGCGCCGTTTACGGACGTACAAGAACACTTGATGCCCGGCGAAAGCCAAAATCGGCAATAAAACGATAAACCCCGAAATAACCATCAGCAAATACAAGTGATGCTCCATCATTTGGAACACTTTAAAAACGAAAAGTATTATTAAAACAATGGGACAAATGTACCAGGAGATGACCCAAAATTTAATTGGTTTATGATCGGTTAAAAACAAGATATCATCCCCGATCGTTCGAATCCCATAAACCCAACAAACGGTGATTACAAGAATCGTTGTTGTGGCTATCTCAGAAACTGATGTGCTTGAATCGAGGATAATCCTTGAAAGCGCGTAATGATCTTCGGATAACAAAGCGGTACTTGTTATCGCGTAAAGCAAGCAATAACCAACTAAAAAATATACTTTGTATTTTTGAAGGGTTGGTTTAAAATTGGTTATGTTTAATTGAAGGGTTATTATTCTTGAGACTATATTAGTTGCGTTTAGCGTTCCTATCGTGAAGAAATAAAGAGCCGACCAAGCATGTGATGCTCCTAAATACATCAAAAATAAATTATGACACAACATAATAAAAAAATCTACCTGTATACGTTAATCCTCCGGGTATTTTAACAACAAAAAATAAATGCAAAGAATTCATAGCATCAACATCTCCCCCAGTACTATATTTTTGCACCCCAATAATAGCCGTGACAAACATAGTACAAAACATCGCCAAAGTCATTAAAATCATCCAAAAATAAACGCACCATAAACCAATTGGAGCATCACTTGGTAATCTAGCTCCTGCAAGAACATGATGGGCATGGCCTAATTTGAAAAGTTTGATTCCTTTGGTTAAGGCTTCAGCCCATTGGTCAGCGTCTAAATAATATTTTGAACCGATGCTGAAAATTGTTGGTAATTCGGAAGTTGCGCCGACGTTTATAAGGACAACTACGAAAAGGATTAGCGTTGAAGCGCAATGTATGTAAAACATAACACTTAAACATTTATGGCGTTGTTTATAAGCGGTCGCTGTTAATAAAAAAATGAAAGCCCAACAAATACAAGATGATACGAATCGGTGCACAATCGGAAGTCCTAATCGAACGTTTTTCATATCAATAGCGGGGTTTTCCATGAATATATTATTCCAATACGCCATAGCGCTGTGTACGCATTTATCGGTGGTACAATTCTTTGGTTTTTCTTTATAATAGCAAAATTTCGTTGTATTTTTCGGACAAACCGCCCAAGGTAGCTCCCTTTGGAAGCACATTAACAAGTAAAGAACTGTATCGGTTAAATCATGCCCAGATCCTATCGTGTACAAAATTGTAACAAGTATAGTAATATAAGGTAGTCCTCTTGCAACCGGTACCATATACTTTAAATGTAAAATACTATTTTGAGTGTATCTCCCCAAAAAAAGTTCCATGTAATAAATAGGCAAACAAACAAATACTGAAGTTACGATTGTTAGCACGATGGGCGTTGATGATTCACTTTGATCGAAATAAATATAAGCAGTTCCGGTTAAACAGTAACACAACGAACTGATTGCGTATTGGGCGAAATTTTGGAAATCGTATTCGAAATTTACATAAATTGGACGTTTATTTTTTTGGGTTTCATCTAATTCGCCTGATAAATATAATTCCATATTTCAAATTTTCGTATTATTGACACATTTCATATTTGAATATGTTGACATAACCATAAAAAGTCACTATAGACGTATTTCATTCAGAAAAACGTCCAAAATACTTTAGGGGTATCATGATTGTCCCTAAAGTATCAACTAATTGAGGAAAAAGCAAAGAACCTAAACCAGGCAAGACCACCAATGAAGTATAGTTCGTTTTTTTTCTATAATACTTGTCAATGTAAATTTTTTAGGGTTTCTGTTGGTATTATCTAGGACCCTTATAAAATTTATGTTGTTTTCCTGATTTTTAGTAACATTTTCAATAACTAAATAGTTGAGGTTAAAATACTAATAAATTTTTAGATAAATACGATTTTAACGAAGTACATATTTATTGTAAAAGCGTTTTTTATGCACCTTTTCTTTTTGAATAACGAAAGCTCAAACGTCAGTGTGACATATCTATTTCAAAACATGATAAAACAAAACTCCCTGTTAATTTTGCCAACTTTACAACAATTTGACAGGTATTATAGAAAAAAAATGAACTATAGCAATGAAACACAACCCAGAAGATCAGTAAGACTTTAAACTCGGTAAGATAATTCTCAAATCAAAACCTCAGTTAATGCCGAAACCTAGTAGGAATTAATAATAATATTAATAAATTTCCTCATTGATATTAAAAGTCAACTGGAAGCAAACTATCGCAGTCTTACTAATGCAAGGAATTGTACTGTTCGGAACGCTGAAGCTCAAAACTTATAAAAACTGTGTGCATCGCAAAAAGATGATAAAATTTGCTCATAATGAGACTAACACTTAACCAAGGAGGAATGTTGGACATGACCAATATTTCAATCAAATATTAAATGAATCTGAGAAACCTGGATTGAAAAAGTGTTATAATCGCGACTACAAAAGGTTGCAAAAGGCCACTCAAGGTGACTGAATCAACGGAGTCTCGTAATTCTAGACCAACCTCGACCTGATATCGACCCACAATCAAGTTCTGCTGCAGTTGAGTGTCTAAACGACTCAATAGGTGCCGTTCAAGGACTTACTACGGATTGAGGAAACTATTAAGATTCTACCAGATTTTTGAAAAAAGCTAACATCAACCAGCCTGCTTCGTAGCTGGGAAAGATTGTTGATAAGATCATCAATGTCACAACGAGACAGTACTCAGCTCATCCGCTTCTCCAAGCATATCATTAAGTGATTCAACTAAAGTTCCTGCTGACTTTCCCTCGTACTGTTCAATGTTTTAATAATGTTTATTAATAGCCATAGTACAAAATATAAATTCCTGACAAATAACATTAAACTTAGGAGTTAAGCAAAACTAAAGTCTTACTGTTGAAGAATAAAATATTTATATGAAAAAGATTTAGTGTTATATTGCTAAAGATAGTGAAAATGACAACATCCTCTGGCTCCCAAGTCAGATTAATATCAATTGGCCTTAAACATATGATCTTCTGGTTGTAAGTAAAGTAGAACCCTTTAAGCCCATCGAACATGAAATTTTTTATTAGGTTCTTTTCGATAACATACCAACAATTAAGTTATCCATTGGACATTGAATTCATCCACTAATTATTGAAAACAAAAACTAAAATCTAGTTCTAATCACACTGGAAACTGTATCTAATTATACACTGAAATTATTGATTACTTAAGCCAATTATTATGGACAATGCACCCAATAACTAGGTCTGGAAACTAGATTATGCACTAGATATTAGAATCACTTCGTGGAAATGCTATCTAGTTACTATGTATACTCCATTTAATGTATGGATGTTCTGCATGAAACTGCATCAACCTCAGCATACTGGAACGAATCCTTATGAATTCTTCTCGTAACAATCCATATTGGAATCATCAAATGTACATTAGAATGGCCAATTCACTCTGGAAGTTTTATCTAATTTCTTTGATACATGAACTAATCGCTATGAACACTATATCTGATAACTGAAAGCTGGAACATTAGAACTGCATCAACCTCAGTATGCAGAAACGAACCGTCGAATCATCAAATTGACACTGAAGTCGCCCGTTGATTCGGATCATAATCACTATGGAAACTAACTAATTTGGTTGATACATGAACTAATTGCCATCAATACCATATCTGATAACTGAAAGCTGGAATCTTCTACGGAACATTAGAATCACTCCCAGAATGTTAAAATCGTACTTTAGATACTAGAATCGTGCCCTAGAACTGCAGTATACTGGAATGAACCGTTATGGATGTTACTCGTAACTGGAATTATCAAATGGACACTGGAATCGTGGACTAGCTTCGAGTTGTAACGATTATAGAAACTTTAATTTCTTTGATACATTAATCAATTGCTATGAATATTGCATCTGATAACTGGATCATCATTCATGAAACACTGGAATCACTCAGAATGCTGAAATCGTGTTGTAAATATTGGACTAATCCCCTTGATACTGGAATCAACAACTAATACATAATGTATATTTAGTAGCTACAGCATCCAAAGTATTTAGGATTTGTTATGTATAACTTTGCAGTTAATAGCAACCCGAGAAGATCTCCTGTTATGATGTGGTTTTTGAAATGATATTTTGGAAAGATAAAAGTATGGTTGGGTTGCTAAGATATTAGGCATTTGATAGCCAAAATTGTCTGGGGTTATGCTTTTGTGTTTGTTTCCTTTTTGATTTGTAACATTTCTATTTTATTGGTTTCTTTGTAAGTTCTCTTTAATTTCTTCATTCTGAATTTTTCTGCCATCTTTCTGTTTTCTTTACAATCTTCTTTCAAATATCATCAAAATAATTTTTCAGAAAGAACTAAAAAATTTTCTGTATATTTTTACTTTTTTTCTATTTTTTTAAATAAGTATCTTTAAAAAAATCTAAACACACCTATTATTTGAGTTGATATAATTTTCTGGGCGTGATTTCGTTAGAAGAAACATAACGATTTAATCTCCAACAAAAGAAAATTACACGTTTCAATCCCCTCCAATTACGTTATTATCCTAAACAACCCGTTTCGAGAAGTACCTTATTAGAATCTAATTACACTAAATTCTCTTATAAATAAGCAACGTGAAATTCAAATTGTCTCAAATCATTTCCAAGTATCACAATTTCAAGATGATTTTAGAATGGGATCGGTTAAAATTAAGAAATTCTTTGTATCTAAACATAATTCTTTTGAAATTGGGCGGATGTTGGTGGCCTGAAACTGAAAATCGAACAACCCAAAAGCTCTACACTTGTTATTCTGTTTTATTTTTGCTGAGTACGCTCGTTTTGTATTCGATTTCAGAGATTATTTACATTTTTCACGTCTTGGATGATCTAGAAGAACTTACGAGTTGTCTCTTTTTATTTTTTACTCACGCAGTACAAATGATAAAAATTCGCGTGTTTCTTATACAACAAAAGGATATTAAAAAATTTCTAAACGAAATGGACGACGAACTTTTCATGCCTCGATACCACGAGCAACAAGAATTAATGAAAACTTCCATTAAGAGATACAAGATTGTTTATGCAATTTTTCAATTTACCGGGATTGCGACGTGTGTGTTATGGGCAGTTTTGCCATTTTTGGAACGAAAACAAGGCGAAAATATTTCTTTACCTCTTCGGGGGTGGTATCCTTTCGACGTAGATCGTTACCCGACGCTTCAAATAATCCTGTGTTTTCAAATTATCTTAGTTACTATTTCTGCGATACTAAACATTAACATCGATGCGACGGTTGCGAGTTTTATGAGATTTTTTTGCAACCAATTCGATTTATTAAACGACTCATTAGAACATATTAAAAGGCGATGCGAAAACGATAACGACCACGATAAAAATCTTCAAACCAAAATGGATCTTGAATTAGAAAGGATCGTTCGACATCATTTATTGATTTTAAGCATGATTCAAAAATTCTTTAATCTGTTCAGCGTAGTCGTCTTTGTTCAAGTTGGTATTACTGTTTTAACTATGTGTATGTCAATGTTTAAATCAACGAGCGTTCAAATTGGGGGAATTCAATTTATGTCAATGATTATGTACCAACTTTGTATTTTAATACAAGCTTTTCTTTATTGTTGGTACGGAAATGAAATTATGTTGAAGAGTGGGTTGATACCGTTATCGGCTTTTAAAAGCGATTGGACGGATTGCTCGCAACAATTTAAAAAAAACCTTTTATTTGTAATGATGAGAACTAGAGTTCCAGTTAAATTATACGCAGCTGGATTGGTGACCTTATCAGTTGAAAATTTTACTTCGGTATAATTTTTTTTGTGGAATTAATTGTTAAATTGTCTTTGGATGTTTCAGATTCTTAGGACATCGTATTCTTGTTTTGCCGTGCTTCATAGAGTACAAGAAAATAATTAATTTGAAAATCTCTTTAAGATATTCGCACTTTTTTAGACAGCTTTTAATGTTGATTTAATGTTGCAGAAGATTTTTATGCAAGAATTATTATTACCTAATAAAGTAATTTCAACCTTAGCTGAAAACTGAGTCTCGTCTTCACAACTGTTTGCAAAGTATCTAGAAAAAACTGTTAAACCTAATGAATGTATTTCAAATACAAAACTCAGAGTGAAAGCGAAACAGAACGGTTACCAAGGAAGATCTGTATAATGTTAGATTAAAATACCTCCCAGCTTTCTGGAAAGCAGCAACGGTGATCATGATACATAATTAAGGCAAATCAACAAATGATGTTACGTCATATAGTTTAATTTTCGAATTAATCACTCAACCATCCAATAAGTCCCTAAAGTTTCTAATATTGTTGAAAAGGCTATGTTTAGAAGAAAAGAAGACATTCCTGAATGTCGCGCAAGCATTTGATAACATTTGACATGGAGGACTTTTCCACAAACTGGCATAACTACTTGCCTATGGAACACTACTAGGAATGTTAGGGCGCTACTTCAGAATCAAACAAGAAGGTACCTTTCCTTTCGTGTTATAGAAGCTGGAGTACCTCAGGGCAGTGTACTTGCTCCAAATGTATCTTTTCTAACTTGATATCGACTATAAATACTTTACGTTCACTTATAAATTAAGATTTTGCAATCTGATGACTTTGAAAATAACTTTAATTTAGACCATAACTTTCCTCAAACTTTCGATTAAATCATTGTATTCTTATCCTGCGTTAAAACGACCTTCCTGTATACTTATTAATAATATTTGCTTTATAAAAAAATTATGTATATTTCCGTGAAATTGTTTATTTTTTGATAGAAGTATTATTGAAAGTGTTCGTCACATAAGACTAATTGTAAAACTAGGAAAATGATTAAGGAAAATTCGTTAACTTACAGTAACGTTGATAATGTAAAATTATTTGGAATTTTAGTGTTGTGTGACGATGCAGAACTGCAAGTAAGAGAATAATAAATATATTAATTTGCGTTTAGACTAATAATACATATATTTTAGGATTGTGTTTTGCTTGATTTTATTATGGATCAATTTTTTTCGAAGTTTTAGTGTCGTTGTGGTTGGTGAACCACAAAATTTGATTTCAATTAACGGTATGTTTGATCTTTGGAATAAAAAAAACCCTCTTTCTTTACTGGATCCTAAATTAGATGGCATAGAATTTCATATTATAAATTCGAAGCGTAAAAATGTCAACATGAACGATCAAAGCAGAAATGAAAACCGTATAAATGATATATCGGTATATAATTTAATATTTTTCTTTTGTAGAGACCGCAAATATGGAAGTAAAAAAGAAACTTGAAAATGTTAACATGAAAGCCTTACATCAAACAAGAAATTTGAAATCTAAATGTTTACAAATCGATTTAAATAAAGAAGTTCCTAAATGTGACTTACAACAAAATGACACTAAATTATTAATTAATCTAAAACGAATACAAACAGGAAATTGTGAATTTTATTATCATTTGGTGATAAATGGTAGCAATGAAGGGTGTGCACACGCAGTACACATTACACACATAGTTAAAACTGTAAATGACAAAAATTTTATGAATGATGTGTCTATTTGGTGTGGACTATCTAACTATACAGTTGATTTAGGAATCAGTTGGAATAAGGATATTATTGTCCAGCATAAAAATATATGTGCTATAACAGCAGGACCAATAGGTTTGTTATATCTCGTATCGGCAGACTAAAGCACACAAGCCTAAATTAGTAACAGGATAATATATTATGCAGCTTTTCCTTTATTTGTTGTCGATTCTGTCTATGCCAACATCTGCGCCTTGCCCACACAAATTGCTCTACATCAAGCACCCTCAGTTGGCTTTTTCCTTAGTCTGTTCTGATATTCTCTTTATGGATTGGTTTCTTTATGTTTTGAAGGTTGGGCTTAAATCGGTATTTGCATAGAACTAAGTCGCGTTTCCGGACATTAGTGTTCTAATATCCAGAATCTGGCTGGGATGATCTCCCTACTGGTTATGATATAATCGATTAGAAAATTACAGAATCGTGTTATGTCAGAAACAGACTATATTGACTTGAGTGCTGTAGTCAGACAATTTCAGTGTTTTATGACTTATGTGTTTTAGTCTATTAACGCGAGATGTATGAAACATTGTCAAACGTCTTTGGTATCTACTAAATAAGAAATACATTTTTATAGCTCCACGTCCAATTAGAGAAATAAGGGTTTATGAGGAAACCAACACATCAGTTTCCATTAGATGGCCTGAACCTTATCCAAAAAATGGCATTTTGGAATTAATCACAATTGAGTATAAAAAAAAAGATAAAGGGGATTTTGGAAATATTGCTAGCGTAGAATGGATTGAACGTAACATAACTAAACCAAAAGCATGTGAAATTTGGGAGAGGAATTTTTGTGTAACTCTTCATAATTTAACCATGAATGAAAAATATTCTATAAAGGTAATTATGATATTTCAATAACGTTTAAAAAAAGTTAGATATGTTTTAGATAAAAGCAAAAAATAAGGACGTAGAAGAATTTTCCAACGTTGGTACTAGTGTGGATGCATTGACAACAGAAAATGGTAATATATTTATTTTAAACCACAGAGATAAAGAAAATAAATAAATTCTGTTTTAGCTCCAGCATCTCCCATTAAAATAGCTACAATTTGGGATGATTTTTTAAATTTAACAATCAATTGTTCGTATCCTTTGAACGCCAAAGGACCAATTCGTAAATTAAATATTTCCATTAACAACACGGAAATGATTTTTGACATTCCAAATAACACGAGAAATTATTCTTTCAATATAGACGCCTCAAATTACAGTTCTACTCGCCAAGAAATAATGGTATTATTTTCAAATTTTGCGGGAAAATCCAAGTCTATAAAAGAAATTGTAATTATTCCACCAAGAACACCCATTTTACGTGATGGCCTAATTAAAGAAACTGACGAAAATGTATTTGTTGATTTGAGCTTAATAGAAAATGTACACAACAAAAGGTTTGGATTCTGATTAGAAAGCATTACATAATCTTGTAATTATTTTATTCCAGCAAAATTTACGTTTACTACATCAATAAAAAATCCAACACAGCTCTTAATAAAAATTGTAACGATTTTGACATTTTGGAAAATAAATCAACCAAAAAGATTACAATATATCCCAACAACAATAAAACAACTACTTTAACAAAAAATAAGGAAACTTCACAATGCATTATCGTAATTTTCGTAAAAAATTCTTTTGAAAAGTACTCAAGATGCTCAACATATAGGGTTGAACCAATTTTTAGTAAAAAAGATACTCCAAATACACCAAACATTCCTTCAGCACAATCTGACAATTTAATAATTATTATCATTGTATTGATTCTGTTACTCATCATCTTGGGAGTAACTATTTATATGTAAATTGATGACATTTCTATGCAGGATATTTCTATAACTCGAGACATAACTTTAATCGCAAATTCTAAAACAAAAATGCGATTAAATTCCTTGGCAGTCGCGAGTCATAAAAATATCAGTACTAAGTAAACCTCAATTAGATTTTTTTAAGGTACAAGATAAAAAGAATTACTTGTAAATCAAGTATAAATAAATTCTGTCATGCGGTTGAAATAGAAAACTTTATAAATTACGTAGATAACGCAATAAGGGATGGTAAACTTCTTCAACAATTCAACGTAAGACAAATAAAAATTTTTTTATATTAACCTAATTTTTGTCTATACAGATGGTCGAAAAATTGGATACCAAATTGGAATTAGATAGCGACACAATGAGAAAACATAACATATCCTGTAAGTTGAAATTAAATCTATTTTTAATCAACGATTTGATCGATTTGATGTTCATAGATGATGGCACAGGGACTAGATTAGTGAATCATCTCGATTCCACCGCAAAAGATTACATTAACCTTAATTACATTAATGTAAGAATTAAAGTAGCATTAAAAATTAGGTGTAAATAATTTCGTTTTTATTCGAGGGTTTTAATGAAGACCAACTTTTTATTGCCGCTCAATCTCCAATAAAATCCGGCATAAGAAACTTTTGGAAGATGATTTGGGATGAAAATGTTGAATGCATCGTAGCGTTAACTAATTTAAACGAATCCGAAAAGGTAATAAATAAAAAAAAATTAAAATATTCATTAATATCATTTTTAACTCACAGGAGAAATATGCTAAATATTGGCCAGAATTAAAGAAAAGTTTAAAATACAGCGAAATCACCATTGCATGTATTAACAGTAACACCACTTCTGATATAACAATCAGAACTTTTGAAATATCCTCAAATTCTTCAAATAGAAAAGTATTTCTTTATACTAAAAAGTGGTTTTAAATATAACTTTTTTAATTTTAGTTAGTTCAAATTCATTATTCAGGAAAATTCAGGCAAGACGAATTAACAATTGAAACTGTTATAAACATTTTACATTTAATGAAAAATCACGGAAACCGCAATCCAACGCTAGTTCATTGCAGGTATGAAATTGCGACTTCTAATAAATAATACTATGAACCTTACAAATAAAATTTGGGTTTATTTAGTGATGGTATTGGCCGAACTGGGATGATAATTCTCTCAAACATCGCCGCAACAATGGCCGAAAAGGCCAAAACGATAGACATGTTTTCAATTTTTTACTATTTGAGACAGCAACGACCCAAAATGGTACAAACTTACGCTCAGTACGTTTTGGCCCATCAAGTTTTAGCCACTTTATCGGATCCAATTTATACTTTTCCTGTTACTGTATAATTATTTGTTATGCTTAGATTAGATTATATAGAATATCTAAGATGTAATATCTATGTTAGTTAATAAATTAATTATAAATAAAAAGAGCTGATACATAGTTTTCCCTCGACTGGCCGCAATCTGCGTCACTGTCTCTTTCCATATCATTCTGTACATTCGTAGTTTCCTCATCTGTCCCATTCGTCTGACGTGACCAAACCAAGACAGCTGTCTAACCTCAATCATCTTTTCGACCGGCTGCATATTGAGCTCTTCTCGAATTCGGCTAAACCCCTTTTATTTGCGATCCAGCTTTCATTGCCACAGGTAAGTATAGACTCTTTGACATGACGAGTCATTAACATGACTCTTCATTTTATTCAACATCATGCCCCTCTCCTTTAAAATATCTGACCACTCGAGTATAGCTTGTTGCAATTTCATCTGCGAGTCTGCGATGAGGACTACATCATTTGCATATATTAGAGCCTAGCACATGATCGGTTTGAGGTTGAACATGTCTGCACCACATCATCCATTAAAGCTACAAAGAGCAATGGAGATAAACTGTCCTTTTTTCATGACGAACATGCCAAAGATCTTCCCGTTAAGTCTCACAACTCCCTCCACTCCGCTGGAACATGGACTTGATGGCCTGTATTAATTGTAGGGAGTCCTTTTCTTCTCTAGTGCTTTCCAAACGTCTTGCTTGGCATTTCATCAAATACAGAGTGCATATCCAAAAAAGCTAGGTATACAGATATGATTCTGCAGATCCACTTATCAGTTCTACAGCGTAGGGAGAAAATGAGATCTTGTGTTTATCGTCCAATTCAATGACATTAATGAGCCATATTGTTCTGTATATAGGAATGATTAAGTTTCTTTGCCAATTTGCTGGTATCCGCCCAAGTCTCGATATCGTTCGAAAGAGTTCTTTATTTTCTTCGGTCAATACCATGCCTGCTGTCCCTACATTCTTTATTTTCTTGATAGCGTTTCGCACGTCCTTGAAAGATATTGGTCTCAGAAAAATGGCTAAAGAGTTGAATATCAGCCATGAATCTAATCGTCAAACATTATTTAGGGCTTTAAACACTCATTTGCCAAAACGACAGAAATCTTGCGCGAAGTGTTTAGTGTGACACCCTGTATATATGTATAGGTCTATATTATAAATGATGTCTAAAACTTTAATTATTGAAAACAAATTTTAAATGATAAATGCTTTAAATTCAGATTTTATAATCAAATATATAGAGTACTTTGATACGAGCTTGAAAATAACGTTAAGATTAAAAAATATTATTTTAATTTTCCTCAAACTTACATTTCAATCATTTTATAAAAATTTATGTCAAATGTAACGTGCTTGAGATATTCGCTAGTGTTGTATTAAAAGAACCCCTGTGGTATATTGATAATATTTGCTTTATAATAAAATTGTGTGTATTTCCGCGAAATTGTTTATTTTTTGATAAAAGTATTATTGAAAGTGTTCAACATTGATTGCAAAACTAGGAAAATTATTAAGGAAAATTCGTTAATTTGCAGTAGCGTTGACAATGTAAAATTATTTGGAATTTTAGTGTTGTGGGACCATGCAGAACTACAAGTAAGACAATAATACATAAATTAATTTGCGTTTAGACTAATAATACAAAAATTATAGGATCGTGTTTTGCTTGATTTTATTATGGATCAATTTTTTTCAAAGTTTTGTGTTTGTTGTGGTTGGTGAATCAGAAAATTTGAATTTAAATAGCGATATGTTTCATTATTGTAATTTAACTGATACAGAAAAAAGGGCTGTGATGGTTATATCGAATAATGAAATGGATCCTGAACGGGCTGGTAAGGTATATTATATTATATATAGAATTGATAATTTTTTTTTATTAGAATCGCAGTTACCTGCAAATCAAAATGATATTAACGACGTTTTTTGCAAAGTATCTGTTAATGAAAACTGCAAAAGAAAGCTCTTTCTAAATAGTCCATGGAAGCACGATTATTTCAAAAATTTTGTTGACATTCCAATAATTAGAAAATTGGAAGGTAGGTTTCATTAAGTTATTCAAATCGTTGATAACAATATATATATGTTATTTTAGACTATCCTTCAATAAAAACTAACAATACAAATTTATCCAAAGCAGTTAATCAAACATTCCACAATAATATTTCATTTTCTGTGTTACATCGCGGTGGAGATCCTCGTGCAATATTAATTTATTTATGGGATAATAGCGTCATAAAAACAATTATAATTTCTCAACAAGAAAATTCATCGATTTTTAGAATATCATCTGAAGACGATTGTCCTTATGAAAAAACAGATAATATAGACCTTACAACATGGAATAATTTCACATTAACATTGCAGGAAGAAAATCTTACACTAACCGAAGAATCTAATAATTTCACTTTTTCATACCCCCATAATGGATTTAAACCAACACACTTTGCATTTGGAAGTAGTAATGCTGCAAATTGGAAACTACTCTCTTGTAAAAAAAATATACAATAAACAAGTTGTGATTTTCTAGCATAACTTTTTTAGATGGCCTCTTTGCCTCCAACTCAAATGGAAATACAACTATTCCTGTAGCAACAAATGGAAACAATCAAGAAATTTGTATAGCAATTTTGGTTGGAACCTGTAATAATTCCAATCTTACTTTAGAATTACTCGGAGAAAACGACAATGTTTTGGATAGCCAATCCCCAAAAAATGTAAATACTAAAAATGATTTTTAAAAAAACTTGTATTTTTAATTAATTTCTTGCAGAAAAACGAATGGGAAGAGCTACAATTAAACGCGATCGCAAATAAAACAAAATTGAATGTAGTGTTAAAAGCGGACTCTTGTTACTCTCATATCGGCGATATTAGAAATTGTATAAATGGTGAGTTAATTTTAACTCAAAATATTTATTGTTCTTATTGTATAGAATGTCCTAAAGCATCAACAAGCTATTCCTCTAACTCTCATTCCTTTCCAGTATTCTGTAAAAATCTCAAAAACGAATAATTTTTAAGACTAACTTTAAGATTTTCAACATTCTCGACCTTTGTCTGCAATGAAATGCTTCACACTCCAACAACACGTAGATTTCTAGATTCATCAATAAATACCACCAACCCTAATAGTCAGTAATTAAAATCCTAGGCATCTTCACAAATAATCACTAATAACTTATTCGCATTCATGTAAAGGGAAGGACTAATTAGATCTTTCCTAAATAGAAGTATGTTCGTCTCTTTGTTGATCTTGACAGATTGTAGTTGAGGTCGCTTGGTATCGAGGCATTACGTTGCAACCCTTAAAAATAAAATGCAATTGAGCATTGCATTCGCTTGACACATGCGACCGAGGTGCTACAATCAAGCCCTGATAGATTAACGTCTCAATCGCAAGCAACCTCGGCTTCATTCCCTAAATCAATTTAGATATGATGATAGATATAGATGTGGTATTATCGAAGATATATCTACTTAGCAATATTATTAGAAATTTAGAGTTTGCAATAAAGACTAACTATGTTGCTACAAAATGATGGGTGCCCCGCACATTCTTCCAAATTGCTCAAGAAGTTTTAAATCAGAATTATACTATCCTATTAGGTTAACATTCCTTTTATGAGGAATTCTTAAAGATAATGTTTACCACAAAATCTCGTGTATGTACTGCAGAAAACATGAGAGAGATTTATTAGATTACTTGGTCCTTATTCTAAATATTAAAGTGAATTTGCCGTAATGACAACCGCATAAATGATATATCAGTGTATAATTTAATGTTTTCATTTTGTTTATAGAGACCGCAAGTATGGAAGTAAAAACGAAACTTGAAAATGTCAGCATGAACGTCTTACCTCAAACAAGAAATTTGAAATCTAAATCTTTACAAAACGAATTAAATGAAAAATTTCCTAAATGTGAATTGCAACAAAATGGCACTAAATTATTAATTAATCTAAAACAAAACGAAACGCCAAGTTTTGAATTTTATTATCATTTGGTGATAAATTGTAGCAATGAATGGTGTACTCAACGTAGCACACAAAGATCTAATATAACTGTAAATGACACAAATGTAGAAGCGGATATTGAGTACGGACTATCTGATTATACAGTTTATTTAGGAATCTATGAGAAGGAAAACGATACTAATGTCCTGTATAAAAATATATGTTCTATAACAACAGGACCAATAGGTTTGTTATATCTCGGATCGGCAGACTAAAGCACACAAGCCTAAAATAGTAACAGCTATTACGCAGATTTTCCTTTATTTCTTGTCGACTCTGTCTACGTGGTCTGAATATGTCTCCCAGTACGTTTCTTTCAGATTCCAAATTACTCCATTCACCCTGTTCCTCTCTCTTTCTGTTTACCCACTTTCAACATTGTTGATTTTCGAAAATTAACTCAATCATAACTCAAAAACTAAAAGCGATGGAGAAAAACTTTTTATACATAAAACCTTAGTAATGGACGATAAAGACTAGATCCATAACAAGATTGAACCCAATTATTACTATATTTTATTTATAAGCTCTAAATCGATTAAACATCAAAATTGTTGATTTTCAAAAATTAACTCAATCATAACTCATAAAATAAAAGCAATGGGGAAAAACTTTTTATACATAAAACTTTAGTAATGGGCGATAAAGACTAGATCCATAAAAAGATTGAACCCAATTATTACCATTTTTTATTTATAAGCTCTAAATCGATTAAACATCAAAATTGTTGATTTTCGAAAATTAACTCAATCATAACTCAAAAACTAAAAGCGATGGAGAAAAACTTTTTATACATAAAACCTTAGTAATGGGCCATAAAGACTAGATCCATAAAAAGATTGAACCCAATTATTACCATTTTTTATTTATAAGCTGTAAATCGATTAAACATCAAAATTGTTGATTATCGAAAATTAACTCAATCATAACTCATAAACTCATTAGTATTCTAATATCCAGAATCTAGTTGGGATGAATTTCCCGATAGGTTATGATATAATCGATTAGAAAATTACAAAATAGTGTTATGTCAAGAACAGACTATATTGACTTGAGTGCTGTAGTCAGACGATAAGTCAGATAAAATAATCAACATTGGCGTTACAAACACAATTTCAGTGTTTTATGACTTATGTGCTTTAGTCTATTAACGCGAGATGTATGAAACATTGTCAAACGTCTTTGGTATCTACTAAATAAGAAATACATTTTTATAGCTCCACGTCCAATTAGAGAAATAAGGGTTTATGAGGAAACCAACACATCAGTTTCCATTAGATGGCCTGAACCTTATCCAAAAAATGGCATTTTGGAATTAATCACAATTGAGTATAAAAAAAAAGATAAAGGGGATTTTGGAAATATTGCTAGCGTAGAATGGATTGAACGTAACATAACTAAACCAAAAGCATGTGAAATTTGGGAGAGGAATTTTTGTGTAACTCTTCATAATTTAACCATGAATGAAAAATATTCTATAAAGGTAATTATGATATTTCAATAACGTTTAAAAAAAGTTAGATATGTTTTAGATAAAAGCAAAAAATAAGGACGTAGAAGAATTTTCCAACGTTGGTACTAGTGTGGATGCATTGACAACAGAAAATGGTAATATATTTATTTTAAACCACAGAGATAAAGAAAATAAATAAATTCTGTTTTAGCTCCAGCATCTCCCATTGATTTAACTACAATTTGGGATGATTTTTTAAATTTAACAATCAATTGTTCGTATCCTTCGGACGTCAAAGGACCAATTCGTAAATTACATATTTTCATTAACAACACGGAAACGATTTTCGACATTCCAAGTACCACGAGAAATTATTCTTTCAATATAGACGCCTTGAATTACAGCTCTACTCGCCAAGAAATAATGGTATTATTTTCAAATTTTGCGGGAAAATCCAAGTCTATAAAAGAAATTGTAATTATTCCACCAAGAACACCCATTTTACGTGATGGCCTAATTAAAGAAACTGACGAAAATGTATTTGTTGATTTGAGTTTAATAGAAAATGTACACAACAAAAGGTTTGGATTCTGATTAGAAAGCATTACATAATCTTGTAATTATTTTATTCCAGCGAAATTTACGTTTACTACATCGATAAAAAATCCAACATAACTCTTAATAAAAATTGTAACGATTTTGACATCCTCGAAAATAAACCAACCAAAAAGATTATAATATATCCCAACAACAATAAAACAACTACTTTAACAAAAAATAATGAAACTTCACAATGCATTATCGTAATTTTCGTAAAAAATTCTTTTGGAAATTACTCAAGATGCTCAACATATAGCGATAAACCAATTTTCAGTAAAAAAGATACTCGAAAGTCTCCAACTCATAATTCAGCATCATCTGATAATATAATTGTAATTATCGTCGTGTTACTTTTAGTACTTATAACGTTGAGTGCTACTATTTATATGTAAGGAATATATCACATAGTATCTTTAGTGTTAATCATTAATCATAATCTTGTTTTAGGTACAAAACAAAAAGAATCACTTATAAACCCGATTGGGTTGACACATTTCTTCCTCAAACGCGAACAACAACTGTACCAAACATAGCGTATAAAAATGATGCAGTGTTAATCCCGCTTTCTAATAACCCGAAATTTTCTCAAGTGGTTCAAGTAAAAGATTTTATGAATTATGTGAACAACGCTATACAACAAGGTGTATTGTTTCAAGAATACACGGTAAAATAAATAATAAAAATCAAAATTTCTTACAAAATTATTTTTTTTATATAGACGATCGATGAATTAAACGATAAATTCGATACTGCGGCTGGATTAGACCCAAATAATTCTAAAAAGAATCGATACAAAAACATAATTGCTTGTAAGTTAAGATTAAATCGATTTTATTTTAATTTTAAAACTTAATTTTCCGCATAGACGACAAAACCAGGGTGAAATTATCAAATATCACGTATTCTAACACAAGCGATTACATCAACGCCAATTACATCGATGTAAGAATTAAATCTTGTAATTTTTGAGATTAATTTTTTTGTATTATAGGGTTTTAATAAAGAAAAAGCGTTCATAGCTGCTCAAGCTCCAACAGGATTCACCGTCGCCGATTTTTGGATGATGATTTGGCAAGAAAACGTTCAATGCATTGTAATGTTGTCGAAATTAATTGAAAGCGGAAAGGTGAATTTATTTATCACTTCCTTTTTGTTAATTAATAATTTTTAATTTTTAATTCAGCCTAAATGTGAAAAATATTGGCCGAACGAATTAGAAACGTTTAAATTCGGCGAAATCGCCATTAAATGTATTGATAGTAAGGGATTTGGTGACAATGTAACAATTAGAACTTTTGAGATATATTCAGAATCGACAATGCGAAAAGTAATTTATTTTTTTTTAAAATAAATCATTTAATTCATAAACTTTTTTTAAATTTTAGTTAGTTCAAATTCATTACGAAGGGTGGTTAGATAAAGACGTTCCCGTATCAACTAGCGGAATTGAAAACGTTTTGCATAAAATGAAAAATTATGAAAATGAATGCCCCATTGTGGTTCATTGCAGGTAAGAAATCGAAAATTACTAAAATTATTAGTGACTTACCTATTTCAATTTTTTAATAAAATCATTTCGATGAGTAAGTGTTGAAAACTTGAGATAAAATCGTCGAGAATCACCGTGGATGGCCTAAAATAAAAAAAAATAGATAATCAATTTAAATTCGTCTGAGATTGTTTTAAAGTTGAATTAAAGTATGGGAAACTAACTTCTAAAAGTTTATAAATACTATTTAAAATTTTGACATAAACTTGTTGCTGACTCCAGAGTTCAGAGCTTTTAGAAATATCTTGTGTTTCCACGATTGTTGGATTTGTCATTTTGTTAATACAAATCTGGTTTAATCAAGTCCAGTTTTATTATCATACTCTGCCTAACATTTTTTCATCTATAGTCGTTGTAAGTCTTTCTTCCAACGTTGTGGTGTTGGAATAATTTGATTTATTTTATCAATGTTGGTTTTTGATTTGTATATCAAAAGTATCGCCCAACTCAAACCAACCTAATGAAACCAAATTCAACCCAACCCAACAGAACCAAACCCAACCCAACACAACAGAACCAAACCAAGCCCAACCCAACTCAACAGAACAAGTTATTACAGGAAATGAATGAGCTATACAATGAGCGTGACACAGGGAAACAGGAATTTAAACTCAGAATAAGGGTATGTGGATACAAACAGAAAAATATACTTAATAATAAGAAAGAAATACTAAACAGATGGGCAGACAACTTCGAAGAATTCTTAAATGGACCAGAAGAAGAATAAGAAATTGTCAATACGAATACCAATGCCGACTTCACCAACGAGGGAAGACTATTAACAAAATCCAGGCCTCCAACAAAACAAGAGGTGAGAAAGACCATTCAAAGACTCAAAACTACTAAACCGTCAAAAATTCGGGCAACGAGGAAATAAAGAAGATGATAATCCAAGCCAACATATGCTTCCATGAGATTAAAAACAACTTAATGAGATTAAACTTTCTACTCTGTGGGTAGAAAATCGGTTGGGAGGTTGAAAAGACGATTTGTGGACGATGTAGAAGAAGATGTAAGAATTCGGAAGGTCGGGGAGGAAAGTTTAGAAGGAATTGTTAAGGCAGACCAAGGTTCACAACGAGTTGTAGAACCAAAAATGAAATTATGAGACATGACATGTCTAAAACACTACATAGTTCTAACCACAAAGTCTAAAATTAATTCTGCAAGTCTAAAATTAAATTATCAAAGAACACTTTGTAGAAATTTGGAATTATATTGATATTTTGAGTCTACACTAATCATTTTAATCCTTTTTTTGCTAAAACCACGTTAATATGTTTATTCTTAGAACATTTCCAGTTAACAAATTTTATGTTTCAGCGCTAAAATGTTTCAGTCTAAAATGCGAGATGTTGAAAATAATTAGAATGTAATAAATTAAAAATAATGTAATCAAATTTGTTCCTAGTGCTGGTGTTGGTCGAACCGGAACCTTAATCCTTGCAAACATCGCCATAAACATGGCTAAAGCGACGGGAATAATCGATATGCCCTCAATTTTGTACGATTTGCGACAACAACGAACCAAAATGGTACAAACTTTCGATCAATACGTATTTGCGCATCAAGTTGTATCCAATATTAAAGCACCTATTTATGCTAATGAGTGATAAGATAAATATTTTAATATGCTACTTTATATTTATTGGAAAATATATTAGCTTAAATAAAGAAAGGAAATAATAAAACAAAGTGACATTTCATTATATCCATCTTTGTCTATTTTAAGCCCGTTTGTTGACATCGCGGCTTCATCCACATGGTTTTATAAGTCATTGGTGTTAAAGAGGTTAAAAATGACGCAGTGATATAAGTGTCTAAAAAAAAATCTTCCATGAAAAAGTTTTGAAGAGGAATTATGACCACAGTGGGAAATATAGGGTTAGGATTATTAATATTAATCATAGTTTGGATATTAACCTGTGTTATTTTTGTGTATTCAGTGCGTGTGCAAAGTAACATTGGTTGGATTTCTTTAGCTGTTGCTACATTGATAACTATTATCTTAATTGTTATTCCAACAGAAACGAAACAAGAAATTACATCAATATCTCAAACGGTATAAGATTAAAGATAAATTAATTTTAATTAAAAAAAATGATTTTGTTTGTTTTTCAGGAACAAAAAGACTACACTTTCTTCTATAAAAGTATATTCTTAACGTTTTTAATAATTTCAACCGTATTATCCTTAATTTGTTTATTTATTTTCCATTGTATTGATCCAATTCGTCCAAAACTATTAAAATCCTTTTAAACAAAAATGAATTCGTCCTTAATAAAAAAAGCGCTTTTTCAATGCCGATCAATTTACAGCACATCAAAGCTAAAAAAATTAATCCATATAAAAGACGACAACGATTTCCATTTAAAAGTTTTACATTCAGAAAATCCTGTAATTGTAAATTTTCACGCGGAATGGTGCGAACCTTGCCATATTCTCACACCAAAATTAACTGAATTATTAGAAAACATGGAAAACGTTGATTTAGCGACGGTCGATGTCGAAAATTACACCGAATTAGCGGATACTTTTGAGGTAAAAGCCGTTCCTGCAGTTGTTGCCATTAAAAACGGATTAATCGTCGATAAATTTATTGGATTGGTCGACGCCAATATGATTGAAAATATGATTAATAGGTTGAATAAAAAAAAGTAATGTTATTTCGAATTTAGTGCGTTAATAAATTATTTTTTATCTTCTTAAGTTGTTTCAATACAAAGACGGTAGAATCTAATTGTAAGAGGATTACTACATCCCGCGACGGACCGTTCGTGACGTCACGCATCTAATATTTCACACTTTGAATTACCAAATGATTAATTTACTCTATTTATGGCTTCTAGTGTTAATTTGAGACTTAATAAGGTTCATAATGTAAAAAAAAATTGAGAAAGCCGAGTTTAGCCCAAAATCAAATTTAGCAGTGCGTCTCTTAAGAAGACTATACCAGAATGTTTCTAGTTCTTGTGTTAGTTCTACTTTTAGTTCAATAAAAATTAACAACAATCTATTCCTAGATAATAATTAAAACTAGTCGTCTTAAGAGACGAAGGGCTAAACCCGAATGTTTCTAGTTCTAGTTTTATATCATTAGAACTAACACTACACCTAGAACCATTGGGGTTTAGCAGTCTTAAGAGACGTAGGGCTAAACATGAAACATTCTAGTTCTAGTGTTAATTAGACCGCGTTATACATCATTTGACTAAGCGACATTTTATCGTTTTTAGAGATTTTCATGCTGTCTGGTAGGTAAAGGTGTAACTTATCTTAGAAACAATGCCGAAAGACCTAAAATACCATTTGTTTTAAAGGATAAAGCTAAGCGCCAATCACGTTATACGATTTCAAGTCCGATTTGCATCATACGGGCTGCCACACATATTAGACTGTGTGACGTCAAGAAAAGTCCTTTAATCGGCTGTCATTAATGTTTTAGTGCGAGCTCTGAGCAAGCGAAACGTTTCATAATAATTATTGCAACCTGTGGACTTCCACTTTTTATATTATAGCTTTTCTTTAATGACTTTGATAGTAGACAGCGAATACCATGATGGAAATCTACGTTTATGACCAGTTCGATGAGGAACATGCTGGTCAACCGCACTACGGATAATTGAGTAAAACAAGAAGAGATATTTATGCAAGCAATTTTCGCGAAGGGGACGCAAGGAAGAATTGATGGAAAGTGCTAAAGCGGAGTGATGGGAGTCCACGCGTACCAATGGGTTATGATATAAGTGATATCTGCCACGATGAAGGAGTTACTCAGTACCAGGTCCAAGTTTCTGTCATTAGCATTGCGTACGATATATATTTGTCATCTTCATTAAAAAACCTTTAAAATGAGTCCAAAGATGACGCACTTATCTCAAAAAACAAAAAAGTTTGAATAAAAAACATTAAACCCGAAGTTAGCAACAATGAAAATAACAATTTACTTTTTAAATATTAATACCAACCTTAATTTTTGATTTTTTTTTTTATATTTTGTGAAAAATATGAAGACATTTTATAAAAATTAAGAATGTCAAAATGACATTGACATTTCAAACCGGAAGTTGCTTATATCTCGAGTAATATTGGAATTAAACGTATCATGTTTGGACTCATTTTAATAGTATATTATTATATGAGCATATAATGAAGGCTATTATATATAATAGAATATAATCTATAATATATAGAAGAATAGCTCATTATATGTGAGTGGAATACTATACTTTGTCCACGACTATTGAAATTGATTCCCTAAATTCATTTTTTAAATAAATGTTTGAATAAAGTTTAAACGTCAATGTGGCACAAATTCAATGTTAGCAACTGTAACCAACTTCACAACAAGATGTCAAAATTAAATGTCAATTTTATGAAACGTCGTTTTCTTTATGAAAATCAATTAACTTATGCTTAAATCATACGAAAAAAAAGAATTTGTTTAGGTTTTTTTAATGTCAAACCTTTAGAAAGTCCTAAAAAGTTGAATTAAATTGACGTTTTTTGAAATTTTGCCGTTTCAAATAATTATTATTAGTCTGGTCAAGATGGCTACCCGTGAATAATGATTATTATTATTATTCACTCCGTGAAAAATGACTACCTTTTTGTTTTAGAAAACTCATTCATAAGGTATATATTATAAGGTAGTCGTGGACAATAGTACATTATTAATGAGGGCTATTATTCACGAAGGTTAAGTTTATGTCACGAGCGTAGCGAGTGGCATAATTAACCTGAGTGAATAATAGTTCATTATATGCGAGTAGAATACTATACTTTATCCACGACTATTGAAATTGATTCCATAAATTTATTTTTTAAATAAATTTTTGAATAAAGGTTAAACGTCAATGTGACACAAACTCAATGTTACTAACTGTAACCAACTTCATAACAATTTGTCAAAATTAAATGTCAGTTTTATAAAACGTCGTTTTCTTTATGAAAATTAATTAATTTATGCTTAAATCATACGAAAAAAGGAATTTGTTTAGGTTTTTTTAATGTCAAACATTTAGAAACATCTAAAAAATTGAATTAAATTGACGTTTTTTGAACTTTTAACGTTTCAAATAATTATTATTAATCTGGTCAAGATGGCTACCCGTGGATAATGATTATTATTCACCGCTATTATTCACTCCGTGAAAAATGACTACCATTTTGGTTTAGAAAACTCATTCATAAGGTAGTCGTGGACAAACGATTTTTCACGACGATTACAAATATGTCAAAATTGACGTTGATATTCTTAACCAGAAGTTGACTATAACTTCATTAATATTGAAGATAAATATGCCGTGTTTGTACTCATTTTAAAGGATTTTTAATGAGATTATAAACATGTCAAAATTGAGGTTGACATTTTAAACCTGAAGTTAGTTATCATATAATAGAAGTTTTATAACTGAAGTTAATTTAGTGTTAATCACTTTTCAGTACTTTCATTTTATTTTTAACGTGTTTTTTGGGTCATTTCACATTGATTAAAAAATTTTGGTTTAGCAGTGCATCTGAAAACGCACAACAAAATATGTAGCAATCCTTTTAGATTTTTCCATCGTTAGTTTTAATCAAATAATAAATAGGAAAGTGATTTAGGAAATACATTACAATGAAGGAAAAAAACTTCCAACATTTATGTACATAGTCAGTTTCTTTATTAATTCGAGCCCACAAACGTAAAGTAAGTTATCTTTATCTTGACAACATTACCAATTACAAGGGGGCACCCAAAATAGATTAAAGACTTAAGTAATTATATGATTACAACCCTTAAATAACAAAAAATTATATTAAATTGTGTGAAAGGGAATAAAAACTTAATAACGTTATATGAAATGTACACAGAACATCAGAATAGCCAAACCAACACATCATTAAAGAAATAAAATTAGACGGGGGAAGGTGATCTAAAGCACCGGCCCTAAACGGACTCCTAATTGGACAAAGAAATCAGAAATAACGAAGAAAAAAAATTATTACTACCGTTTTAATCTCTATCACGTTCGCGTCTTCGGTCGGAATTTCCAGACCCGGAGTGTCTGGAGTGGGAACGACGGTCCCTATCGCGACTCCTAGACTTAGAGCGATACGAACGACTTTTTTGTTCTCCCCTGTCTTTTTCACGCTCCCTATCCCTTCGTTCGCGGGACTTTGAACGATGACGTTTCGATCTTCGATCGAGTTCGCGACCACCGACGTAAGTTTCGCGATGTCTGTAACGATCCTCTCTATCTTTATCACGATCCGTATCCCGTGCTTTACGCCGTTCTTCTTTGCGTTTTTCAGAGGTTTTCTAAAAAAAATTAAATAATTAAGATATTGATTAATTTATTAATTTTGAGTTACTTCAAGTTCGGCGAGTTTCTCCCGAATTTTAATAAAACCCAAATGGAGTTTTCCACCGAAATGATCCGCTAATCGCCTATCGTTGTCGTGAATGCCTAAATAAGCGGAGCAAACTTCGCAAACGCGGAGTTTTTGTTGTTGATAACTACTAGCTGGCATTGAGTTTCTGTATTCTTGTTCAGCTTCAAGTTTTTTCTTCCTTAATTCATCCACCTAATAAAAAAAATTAATTCATTAATTAAGAATTAAATTAAGAATGCTTAAAAATCACCTCTTCCATAAGTTTCATACTTTCATCAACAAATCCTTCTTCGCCAAGTTGTTCAGCTTTAGCCAATTTTTGCCCAATTTGCTCGGCCAATTCATGAACGCTATTAGCTTTAACCGCAACTTCCGCTGAAAGTTCTTCTTGGGTTTCCGCCAGTCTTTGCTTAGCCGCCTCCGTTCTTCTATCGCAGTCGCTAATGAAAGCCTGAAGATGTTCCATAGCCTTAAAATTAAAAGAAACATCCGAAAGGTATATTTATTATTATCATATTTCTTTCATCTTACGTCCAAATCGTAGAAGTAATCTCTAGAGGCTTGGGCCTTTTCAAAATCCGCTCGCAGGGCGAGATCATGGATTTTCGGGCATTCCCCAAGGTCCATACGCTGCCAACATAACAAATTACAAAAAACCGTACGATTAGCGTGGAGCATAAATTTTAAAATCAAGAAAATTTCGATTTTTACTGGAAGAAATTTATTTACGACAACACATTTTTTTCAACATACACAGCGTTTCTTTTATTTAATTTTTTTTTGAGGTGTGAAGAGAACGTACAAAAAGAAATAAAGTTATAATAATAAAGAAAAAATGTATCACAGAGATTTTTTGAAACATTTACAAACACTCTTTATAGATTTAGAGCAAAATAAATTCTTTTAAAAAATTAAAGGAAAATGTTAATATTTTAGGCCGACTGTCGTTATAAAATTATTACTATGAAGTTTATATTCATAATCATCTGATTATGAAAACCGTTGGAAACCAAAAAATGACACCGTTGCTTGTGATATATTTGAGGAACTTGGGCAATTTCAATATACATAACAACATACCGGTTTCGGTATGCTAACCATCATCAGGAGGAACTTAATTAACATTTATGAAGAAAATTAGCCGCGTTATTTACGAAATTGTAACCAAATTCGACGTTACTCGATTACCTGTATTCTAAAATTGACATATACATTAATATAGGCTACACATTTGACTAAATATAATAAAGAATATTCTTGAGTTATATTTCTTTAAGCAAAATGCTTCCAGAAAATGGCTGAATTAAGCAAAATATTTTTAGAAGCTCGTATAATTAAGCACAATACTTCCCAAAGTTGGCAGAATTAGAAAGATATTTCCAAAGGGTTTCAAAATTTAGCAATGCTTCCGGGAATTGATAGAATTATCCAAAATATTTTCAGAACTAGTGAATGGTTTGAAACACGCTAAAGATGGCTTTACTTCACAAATGGATGAATCTACAGACGTGGCTGGATTAGCAATTTTCGTAATTTAGAATGTCGCTACGTGTAGATTATCCGCCAATTTCTGAACACTCTGTATGTAGTGATGGAGTTAAAGGTATGGTTGGTGTCGTAAAGGGTGTAATAGCACGTATAAAGAAACTAGTTCCGGACATCAAGGCTGTCTCTGCAAAAAGTTCTTAATGACGCCGTTAAATTCATCAAATCCAGACCCTTAAATGCCAGAGTATTTACCCTATTGTGTGATGACGTGGAAGCTTATATGAAAATCTCCTTCTTCATACTGATGTAAGATGATTATCGAAGGGAGAGGTTGTAACCCGATTCTAGGAATTGCTTGATGAAATTCGTATCTTTTTAACTGTGAATTTGCTAGAAAACTTAATGATAATAGTTGGTTTCAAAATTTAGTCAACTTTAGCTAACCTTGCAGACATATTTTAGTACCTGAACGACGTTAATCTTTCAATTCAAGGACCAAATACTACAATTTTTAAGGTCGATACATTCCCAATTAAGGAAAAAGAACAACTTATAGATATACATACCGACACCACATTAAAATCTACATTTGCACATGATGGCATTGGTCCATTTTGGATAAAATTATTGGATGAATATCCAGAAATTTCCAAACATCTCTGTGAGAAATCCTTTTCCACATACGTCGCTATAAAAACGAAGTACAGAAATCGACTTGATGCTAAAAATGATATGCGTCTCCAATTAACATCAATTCATCCAGATATTGATAAATTGTGTAGTAATAAACAAGCACAATAAAGTCTTTATCTATTTATAAGTATTTATCTATTACTATAACATATTTATATTTTATAAGGAATATTTATCTTTTTGTTTGAATAAACACAAGTTAGTTACTCTTGTATAGAATTTTTACAACGAAGGCAGAGACGCATCTTGTTCACAACATGTAATATGTAATTATAATGCGACACATCAATCCCTAAAATCAAATCTGGGTGTGTTACTGTACGAAGGTTTCCATAAAAAAATTATCTCAAAAAAGGGTTCCGCGCAATGACAAAGGTTGAAAAACACTGTCTTAAGATATCAATATGTTGATTTCATCCGAAAAAACAACCAATTATTTCTAAGGAACCAATTAGATACAAGCTTGAAGTGGACAATAAAATAATCCATCAAACTATGAAGTTTAACTATTTAGGAGTAAAAACTTTAGTAACAGAAATCTTATAAATGAAGTAAGAAGAGAAGGATACACATGAAGAAACCAGTAAATTACATTGACAAATAGAACAATACAAGGGGAAGAAATGAATGTGTTAAAGATGTTGGGATATCTCAGGAAAGATTGGCCAAATGGACCATGCTAGAAAAATCAGACACCAAACGAAACCATCTAAAAAATGGTATGAACATTGGACATCAGAGCCACAGGAGACCTAAAAGTATAAAAAAAATAGGACATCATCCTATTAGAAGAAAAAAAAAATACGATTGTAGCATTGCTCAAAACAACGACTTTTAATTAAAAGTCAGAAAATAGAATTTTCGTAATTATTTGCATAGTTGTGGCTCAACAAGGTGTAGATCTAGATGTATCCTAACAAAAATTTATTTATTCACAAACAACTGGTTGCCTCTTTTGATTTCCACACTGGACCTGGACGAACGGCCTTTAAAAAGAAATCAATATAAAATTAAAATTTGCAAATAAAAAAATACACATTTATCCAAAATATCTCTAATTGTAAAAGAATACACGCACCAATAACGCTGTAGGAAAAGAAGCACACCATCTTCGCTTCGTTGTTGATTTCAAAAAGGTGCAATGAATATTATTTCAAATATTAAAACATAAAACCAAAACGGATTACCATTAATTAATTGTACGTATTTCATACTCACAATAAAGACACAATTGATTCGTACAATTAAATTTTTATCTTTAAGGAAAACATAATAAAATAAGGAAAAAAATAAGAACAATAATAAACATAGATCGGTCGTAGATCGTTTAAACTTGAGATACTCACGGAATTCAGTGAATTTTCTCTAATTTACATGCACTCGTGTGTGTTATCTTGACTGAGAGAAAGAAAAAATTATAAGACTGATAGAGGGGTGGACACGAGTTCCTTTCGCGATTCCATCTTTTTCTTTATTGTTTCTGGTTACTTTTTATTTTCATTTTTTTTTTTACTTACCGAGTGGTTTAAGAAACGGAAATTTGGGTATCCTTAGCGTACGATTCCGTTCATTATCATACTTTTTTACCATACCTTAATTGTTTTGTTGCTTGATTTCAATCTGTACGAATGGATATTGAATTTTTACTATAATCACTAAAGAAATAACAATCTATAGTGATTACAATAATTATCAAAGTCCAATAGTGCAAAGAAAATGATTGTAGATCATATCCGGGAAATTTTGAATATCTTTATGTTGTTATTAACAAAGTTTTTAAAGGACCGATTGCGTTTTATCAATATTTACGAATTTTTTGGGCGATTGAGACAAAAATTTTTGATTGTGAAAATTGATAAAAGACAATGGGTCTGAAAAAATAAAATAAATTTAACTTCAGCACGAAAAACGTAGCTAAGGAACCATTACTACCCACATATTAACCTAGTAAGTTTTAATAGTATTTTTTTTATACGTACGTCATAGTACTTACATACAAAATTTACACCTATCCCTCATCATTTAATAGTAAATTGAAGTTTCTGAAAATACATTTCGCACATTAGTCCAACCGGGAAATAATCAAAAAAACCAATCTACGTGTGTAAATATAAATTTTTTTTGATACAACTTTTAATTTCTTTAAATTTTTAACATAATTCTTAAATAACTTCGATTTTTTTGCGACTATTAATTTTGAAAAACAAATAACAGAAAGATTATAAATAAAAATAACAAAATAAAAAATCAATACTCGTCTACTGCCTATATATATATATATATATATTTTTCTTTTGCGGCACATTTACGTAACTTACCGTGGAGGAAAGGATCTCATGGGGGCAGCAACCCAGCAGGAACGATTTGCACACCTTTGGGTCGTTAAATTTCACCTGGAATCGGTTGTTCTCCCCTAAATAAACCCAACACAAAAAGAAAATTAATTTGTTAATCGTTTCAACACCATCGCATCCATCCAGTTCTTTTTATCCACTTACCATTTCTACCTGTACCCATTAGCTGATCCAACATCGCCCTCATCTGATCGTGAGCCGTCATCGTACACAATTTTTGATTAAACCGTTTAATAAATAACGTGCTCAATCTTTTAAGGAGACTCAATATGAAAGAACACCACTGACATATACGCAAAACAATATGGCTACCGTCAAAAAAACGAATACGTCAATTGTTAAAACGACATCTATCGGAATTTATTAAGTAAATTTATTGAAAAATTTAAAATTATTTTTTAATATCAGTTTCATTAAATTTATTTGAGGATGTTAATTATAAAAGAATTTTTGAAAATGTTTAATACAAAATTAGATCATTAATTAAATCAGTATTTAAAGTTACAGTTAAAACAAACGTTCAATATCAAAAGATGGCGCTGCGTGACCGATTTTCTCAATATAATTTTTATAATCTTTTCTTACCGAAATTATTTACGTTAATATGTAAAATTACTTCAAATTAAATCAAATCAATCCTATAACTGAAATAAATTAGAATTAATTCAATAAAATTAAATGTTATTATTTCAACTCAAGTGCTAAACTTTTTTCAATCACTAGATGTCACCACTCGTAATCAATAAATACCTTAATTTATTTATAAAAAAAATTTTAAAGTTTACAAATAAATCTTAAATAATGTTTTTTAAGTATTAAGTATAGTTGAAAACAAATATATTATTAAATACGTTATGTTTATTAATTATAAACGAAACACAAATTATTATCAATTCTGCCGATAGATGGAGCTAATCGAAATGTCAACTATAAAACTTGAACATTCGAGTATAGAGCTTTTGAAGCTTATAGAAAAAAAAGCTTGTTTAATAGCAAATAATTAAGTAATGAAGACTGGAATAGGAAGGCTAAAACTACACTACATGGACGATGTAAGACAACTTAAGAACTTTAACATTTATAGGATAGAGACGTAAAGCTCTTGATTCATGAAGGATATCTTTAAGGAGAGTTAAGCTCTCACAGAGTTGTTTGAACTGAAACATCGTTCACAATTCCATGGCGACAAGAAGCTGCAGGAACATCAATTAATGTTTTTAGAGAAGATCTAAAAGTAAGTGGGTGCTAGAGACACCAAAAATAAGGCAAAAATGAGGAAAATGGATCTATCAAACTTGGTGCTACCTACTAGGCTATGCAAAAGGGTGCTATCACTAATTCTGAGGTTATTCCGTTTGAACTATTACCTGAAATATCGACTGATATTTCCTTGTTGAACATTTTAGTCAATTTCTGTACCAGCTTGTGCAGATATCAATTAATTCAATAATTGCATATAAATTGTTGCTTATTTATTACTAGGATGATGTGATGTTTCCATAGAAAAGAAATAAATAAATTTTTGTTGTTGTCATATTCGGTGTTTTCAAAGTCAAAATTTTTAGGAAAAATTTTCGTGTAAAAAACTCATCAAACCAAATTAAATGGGCAGATTCTCTGGTTATTACCGACACTTTCGGCTATGACGTCCCGTCGATCAGCGAACTGCTTGTGCAGATTGAAAAAAGTGAATCAAGACCTCTTCAGGAGCGGATCTACGGTTATCGGCGAAACTGAAATCGGCGGTGTACGAACGATTTATGAAAAATGGTTGAGTGATCCTAAAAACGTGCCTGCTGTAATCAACTTTAAACAATTCGTTTCTTTTTCACGATTAAAATTTTTTTTTGTACCGTTTAGCCTTGGGATTCATTTTTCAAGTCAATCTCCCATTACGATCGCACGAAAATCAAATCGAAATCGCTGGCCGAAGTCGGGAAAATTAAGAAAAAAGAAAAAGTTCAAAAGCGAGATGAAAGAGAGATCAATTTGAAACAATTTTTATTGGTGCAACAATTAATTCGAAGCTATCAAGTGAGATATAATTAAATTTGTTTATTTTTTTAATTATTTCGTTTGATTTAATTTAAAATAGATTCGTGGACACTACTTTGCCAAATTATATCCAAATTTAAGCGAAAAAAATGCGATTGCCGAAGAGGAACATAAAACTTTATTGAAGAAAGTTAAATGTAAACATTTTTTTTTATTCAAATTCATTGAGTTAAATTTAATTTCTCTTTAGCCGAATTAAAATTGAATAATTTATTTGCATTACCGTCACCGACAACTTATATAAGCGGAAAAGAAACGCGTTTGAGTCTATTTGAAATCATCAATCGTTTAGAAGATACTTATTGTAACTCGATAGGGTTAGAATTTATGCACATGAATAGTTTTACTCAATGCGATTATTTACGCAAAGAATTCGAAACTCCCAACATTTTCAATTTAACGAAAGACGAGAAAAGATTATTATTTTCAAGATTAACCCGTACAGCTTGGTATGAACAAAAAAATATATCAAAAAAAAAATTCCATTTAATGAATTAACTTCTAGCTTTGAAAAATTTATAAACACAAATTGTCCAAGTACCGGTGGATTAAACAGTTTGGAAGGTTGCGAAATGTTAATTCCCTGCATCAGAATGATAATCGATCACAGCTCCTCATTCGGCGTTGATCATTACGTTTTTGGAATGGCACAAAAAGGGAGATTAAACGTTTTAGCAAACATCTTCGGAGTTCCTTTGGTGAAACTGATGGGTTATCTCCATCAAAACGAATTCTTCACGTCTTATTTAGGGACAGATCAAGTCAAGTAAATCATGATTTTATTATTAACTATTTCGTTTTTAATCATTTTTTATTTCTTTTTAGATTGGATACAAATTCGAATAAAAAAACGAGATTAACCATGATGGTTGGGCCAAACAACATGAACATCATGGCTCCCATTACGTTGGGGAGATCCAAAATTGAGCAATTGTTCAAAACGGAAAACGAAATCCTTCCGATTTTGATTCATCAAAACACCGATGTTTTGGGTTCCGAAATTTACGCGTTAACCTGTTCATCTGGGTCTAATACAGGAGGAACTATTCATATTGTTTTGAATAATTTCAATTTGGAATTCCAATCGCAATTCTTCTCAAGTAATATTTTTATTTATTTATACATAATTCTTACTTACTTTATACATAATTACTCACTTAATGATTACGCGTTACTTTGTGTAATATTCTACTACTTAGTTTATCCATGATTAAAGAGGGAATATTAAATACTCCTTAAACAAGTCTACTTAGGTGTTGTTGGCAGAAGAATATATCCCTAATGGCAGACTAAAACTGCTAATATAAGGCTAGAACTGAGCAAGTACCTGCTTGCAGAAGACTAGACACTGCTGAAGCAATATTAAATATACCTTAAACAAGTCTAGGTTGTATTAGTAGAAGGTTATATGTTATTTATAGAAGACAATATACTCCTAATGGCAGACTAGAACTGCTAATAAAAGAGTAGAACTGCTTGCAGAAGACTATCTACTGCTTCCAGAGATTAGGCACTGCTTACAGAAGACCGGTATTGTTTATAGAAGACTATATACTCTTAATGATAGCGTAGAGAACTGCTTGCAGACGACTAGAAAGAATAGTAAATACTCCTTAACCCCTTGACATACAAATAAAGACTACCTACTGCTTCCAGAAGCATAAGCACTTTTCGCAAATGACTAGATACTGCCGAAGGAACATTAAATACTCCTTAAACAAGTCTTGGTAATGTTAGCAAGAGACTAGATGTTGGCAGAAGACAATATACTGCTAATAGGAGACTAGAACTGCTAATAGAAGACTAGAACTGCTTGCAGAAGACTACCTACTGCTTCCAGAGATTAGGCACTGCTTTCATAAGACTATATACTGCTTAGAGAAGACCGGTATTGTTTATAGAAGACTACATACTCTTAATGATAGCGTAGAACTGCTTGTAGACGACTAGAAAGAATAGTGAATACTCCTTAACTCCATGACATACAAATAAAGACTACCTACAGCTTCCAGGAGCATAGGCACTTTTCCCAGATGACTAGATTCTGCCGAGGGATAATTAAATACTCCTTAAACAAGTTTAGGTTGCGTTATCAGATAACTAGGTGTTGTTGACAGAAGAATATATCCCTAATGGCAGACTAAACTGCTAATATAAGGCTAGAACTGAGCAGTACCTGCTTGCAGAAGACTAGACACTGCTGAAACAGTATTAAATATATCTTAAACAAGTCTAGGTTGTATTAGTGGAAGGTTAGATGTTGTTTATAGAAGATAATATACTCCTAATGGCAGACTAGAACTGCTAATAAAAGAGTAGAACTACTTGCAGAAGACTATCTACTGCTTCCAGAGATTAGGCACTGCTTTCAAAAGACTATATACTGCTTACAGAAGACCGGTATTGTTTATAGAAGACTATATACTCTTAATGATAGCGTAGAGAACTGCTTGCAGACGACTAGAAAGAATAGTAAATACTCCTTAACCTCTTGACATACAAATAAAGACTACCTACTGCTTCCAGAAGCATAAGCACTTTTCGCAAATGACAAGATACTGCCGAAGGAACATTAAATACTCCTTAAACAAGTCTTGGTAATGTTAGCAAGAGACTAGATGTTGGCAGAAGACAATATACTGCTAATAGGAGACTAGAACTGCTAATAGAAGACTTATAGCAGCTATCTACTGCTATCAGGAGATTACGTAGTGCTTGCAAAGGACTAAATACTGCCGGAAAAATATTAAATACTCCTTAAACAAGTCTAGGTGGTGTTAACAGAAGACTAGATGTAGTTGACAGAAGACAATATACCCTAATGGCAGACTAACATAGTGAACAGAAAACTAAAACTGCTTGTAGATGATTTCCTAGTATTTTCAGAACAGTATCTACTATTTTTAGAAGATTAAACTAAGCAAAATTGACATGAAATATTGAAATGCAACTAACAACAAAAAAGTCAGTGCTGTAGTCCTTTCCGATACCTCCTAATTCATTTAATAACATACTTGCAGTATAAAAAATTTAATTTTTCACTTTTAAAGAGGTAAAAATGTTACAAAACAGATAGATATTAGGTTGAAAAATACAAGATTTAGCAACACCTAGTTTCGAGATTACTCGTATATGCGAAGATCTTTATTAACGCACCTTTCTCTTGTATTAAGGGATTTAAATATCACTGTGTTTCGCAAAACTGTTTCACCGCGATAAATCCAAGGCTATCCCCATCAAATCCATGTTGATTCACATAAAGTGACGTAACTCATCGTCTCTCACCAAAATAACTTGAATTAGAATTTAATTTTCTTTTAAACTTTGAGTTAACAACAAAAAAATTGTTTTTTAGATTTAGCAAAAACGATAGATGCACCAATTTTCCACGTTGACGCAGAAGATCCAGAAGCTGTTCAAAGAGTGGCTATAATAGCATCTGAATGGAGGAATCGTTTCAAAAAGGATTGCATAATTAATTTAATGTCTTCCAACGAAATTAAATTCGACGATTTGATGGGATTAAACCCGAATGCCCCGCTAAAGATTAAATGCAAAAAAAGCAAACCAGATGTTGTTCAAAAATACTTTAATCGCCTGAGTAAAGAAGGCGTAATCACCGAAAATTTAGTAAGTAACGTTTAAGTTTCGTTTAAATTTCTTTCAGAATCGTCGAAACAACTTTTTTTCAGCCGTTTTCACGATCGTTTTTGTGCTTCTTTTCAGGCTCACCAAAAACGAGTGAAAACGGCTGGAAAAATAGTTGGAGAAGATAAAGATGTGGGTAAGAAAAAAGACGATATTTTGGGAAATATTGAAGACGGTGAAGTAATTAAAGAAGATTTTAAAGAGACTTTTGAGGAAATCGAGAAAGCTGAAAGTAATCGGTTGGAGCGAAGGAGGATGATTAAACAGTTGAAAGATATGAAACGAAGTGAACGGATAAAATTTGCCGAAGAACTGCTTAAAAAAAAAAAATTGAAAAAGAAACCTAAATAAATATTAATCTTAAACAAATAATTTTTTTAATTTAAACTTTAATTTTACAGATTTCGGAATACACGGATAAATATCAACAGCTTTTAAAAACGGCTTTTGAAACTTCTAAAGATTTAGGCACGCATGCTGTTGGTTCATGGATTGATACTCCGAAATTAGCTGGTTTTAACAAACCAGGTGATATTCCTTCAACGGGGATTGAAGAAAACGAAATTATGTCCATCGGTATGATTCATTCTTCACCACCCCTCGGCGACTTCGTAGTCCACAGCGAAATCGAAAGCCTCTTTAAACGTCGCACCTCACTTCTTAAAAAGAAAAATGTTAATTGGTCTTTAGCAGAAGCGATTGCTTTTGGATCATTGTTAAAAGCAGGAATTCAAGTTCGTTTGAGTGGATCGATTCAGGAAAATATGTGGAAAAATCGCCATTATGTTATTCAACATCAAAAAAAGGAAAACATTTCTTACACGTAATTATCTTATTAAGATAAAATTATTATTGAATCATTTTATGTATTTTTAGTCCAATTGATTTCGTTGATCCAGCCCAAGCGAAATTTTCCATTCAAAATCAGCATCATTCTTCATCTCAAGAAGCAATTTTAGGATTTGAAATCGGTTACTCTCAATGCGACCCCAACGTTTTAGTCGTTTGGAACGCAAAAGATGATTCTTCCGGTATCCCCCAAGCTGTAATTGACGAATATTTATCTTGTGGGATAGAAAAGTGGAAAAAGCCGTCCGGAATTGTTTTAAATCTTCCTCACGGAAGAAACGTTACCACGATTTCATCGTGTTCATTTCGCCCAGAACGAATTCTCCAACTCTGCGCGAACGATGATGTGATGGAATTTGATTACAAAAAGCAATTATTCGAATGCAATTGGATTGTAACTTATCCAACAACGCCAGCGAATTTTTTCCACGTTCTTCGCAGACAAATTTTGATGCCGTTTAGAAGACCGTTAATAAATTTGTTACCTAGAAATTTAATAGCAAGCGACGCAAACATCAGCTATTTCGACGAATTCAAAACTAACTCAACCTTTAAACGGATTATCACCGAAAAGGTCGAAGATCCAGCTAAAATAAAAGCGGTCGTTTTTTGTTGCGGGAAAGTGTTTTACGAATTCGACGCGATTCGCCAAAAAGAAAATAGAGATGACGTCACTTTTATAAGAATCGAACAGATCTATCCGTTCCCTTACGATCTAATACAAGCGGAAATCGCTAAATATCCGAAAGCTAAGTTCGTTTTTGCGCAAGAAGAACCGAGAAATATGGGCTTTCATCAATATTGTAGTCGCAAACTTAAAAACATTTTGAAAAATGATCTGTTTAAAGTTATAACCACACCCGCTACACTTCATACTCATTATGACATTTCCTCCGATGATTACATCAAAAATCAAAAAATGAAAATGGATCTTATGTCACAAATAGAAAATGATCATAACTTACCGTTATAATTTAATTTTGATTTATGTGTGGGGTGTAAAGTTACATTAAATAAATTATAATGTAAAATAATAACTGCTTTAAAAAAATTTTTTTAATTATAGATAAGCAGAAGCCTAAGATAAGAAATTTTATTATTCAATAAGAACATAATATATAGTATTAGAAGTCTTTTGCGAACAATTTACCATTTGGCACCTGAGGAAGCTACGCTGCCGAGATTATAGAATGCACGCGATCTTCTATTTCATTACAAAACTAGTTCTTTGAGCTGCAGCAAATATTGAAAAAAAAAGTATTGACATTTCTTATTTCATTGCAGTACTAGTTTTTCATGATTTTTTACAAATTTCGGATTGAGCAGAATCTTTGATTAGTTTAATATGAGCTGCAGAAGATTCCTCATCATCTTTAAAACGGCAAATATTAACAAAAAATATTCTGCCATTTCCTATTTGATTAGAAAACCAGATTTCCATGAGTTTTTGCAAATTTCGGGTTGAGCAGAATCTTTAATCAATTTAATTTTGATTTGCAGCATTATCTCTAATATATTAAATATGAAAAAGATGCTTTGGGCACTTTCCATTTGTGTTTATAAATCAAAGAAAATACTAAATTTTCACAAAATTATATCTACTGTGTTTTTAAGAATCATGATATGATATGTATGTTAAATTGAAGCTTAAAGATTCTAGTTTATGATGTGATATAAAAACAATAAGATAATATTAAAATTTCCAAGAAAAACTTATAAATAGAAGAACCTATCAAGTTTATAAATCAAAGAAAATACTAAATTTTAAAAAAATCATATCTACTGTATTTTTAAGAATCATGATATGATAAGTATGTTAAATTGAAGCTTAAAGATTCTAGTTTATGATGTGATATAAAAACAATAAGATAATATTATTGAAATTTCCAAGAAGAATTTATTTAAGAAGAAATTGTCAAATTCATAAATCAAAGAAAATACTAAATTTTCAAAAATTATATCTACTGTAAATTTAAGAATCATGATATGATATATATGTTAAATTGAAGCTTAAAGATTCTAGTTTGTGATGTGATATAAAAACAATAAGATAATATTGAAATTTCCAAGAAAAACTTATTATAGAAGAAACTGTCAAATTTATAAATCAAAGAATATACTAAATTTTCAAAAAATCATATCTACTGTGTTTTTAAGAATCATGATATGATATATATGTTAAATTGAAGCTTAAAGATTCTAGTTTATGATGTGATATAAAAACAATAAGATAATATTATTGAAATTTCCAAGAAAAACTTATTAAAGAAGAAACTGTCAAATTTATAAATCAAAGAAAATACTAAATTTTCAAAAAGTCATATCTACTGTGTTTTTAAGAATCATGATATGATATGTATGTTAAATTGAAGCTTAAAGATTCTAGTTTATGATGTGATATAAAAACAATAAGATAATATTGAAATTTCCAAGAAAAACTGATTATAGAAGAAACTGTCAAATTTATAAATCAAAGAAAATACTAAATTTTCAAAAAATTATATCTACTGTGTTTTTAAGAATGATGATATGATATATCTGTTAAATTGAAGCTTAAAGATTCTAGTTTATGATGTGATATAAAAACAATAAGATAATATTATTGAAATTTCCAAGAAAAACTTATTATAGAAGAAACTGTCAAATTTATAAATCAAAGAAAATACTAAATTTTCAAAAAATCATATCTACTGTGTTTTTAAGAATGATGATATGATATATCTATTAAATTGAAGCTTAAAGATTCTAGTTTATGATGCGACATAAAAACAATAAGATAATATTATTGAAATTTCCAAGAAAAACTTATTATAGGAGAAATTGTCAAATTTATAAATCAAAGAAAATACTAAATTTTCAAAAAATCATATCTACTGTGTTTTTAATATGTATGTTAAATTGAAGCTTAAAGATTCTAGTTTATGATGCGATATAAAAACAATAAGATAATATTATTGAAATTTCCAAGAAAAACTTATTATACAAGAAACTATCAAGTTTATAAATCAAAGAAAATACTAAATTTTCAAAAAATCATATCTACTGTGTTTTTAAGAATCATGATATGATATATATGTTAAATTAAAGCTTAAAGATTCTAGTTTATGATGTGATATAAAAACGTATTGTGCAGCAAATGTATAGAACAAAAATTTATTTTGGTCATCTAGTTTTCCGGAAACCATTTTTTTTTAAATTCTTGCAAATTTAGATTTGAGCACAACTTCTGATTCTGTAAATTTGAACTTCACAATTTCTTGAGAAATTCGGATTTTTTTCAATTGTAGATTATGAGTTAAAATCAATTTAGTAGTTTTTTAAAGTTAGGTAAAATCAAATAAATACAACAATAAGTTTCGAACATGTTTATTTTTGCTTCTTAATCATGCGTTTTCTCGTATTATCCTAAGTGTTTACTTTTTACTTATTTTTCTTTTTTAGTTTATTTCGCGTACACTGAATGTTGTCTTCTCGGTCAGATTCACTGGAATAGCGGACGTGGAGGTGGTAACTAACTACACGGGTCTCGAAGCCATTTCAAAGCTGAAGCTGATTGATTCATCGTCGATATCCGATGAATTATTAAAATGATTATTTTTTTCGAGTTATATTTGCTATTATTACATTTTGTTTCGTGCGCGTTTATTACGATTATTTGCATAGTTTTTCTTTAAATAATTTACATATAAAATCTGAAGAGAGTAATTGGGTAAAAAGAGGTGCGATGCGAGATACACGTGTATATTGCAGTTTATTTGCGAAGTTTTTACTAAATTATTACTAAATGATTAAGAGATTACTTAGTAATAATTATGTATTGTGACAAAAATGTTTTCTTTTAATTTTAGGGTTTAATTGTAATTTGCTGAGCAAATTAAATTAAGTATTCATTTTTTATTTATATATATTATATAGACTTGTTGGTCTTTTTCTATTACATAGTAAAAAGGACACAGCCTGTTTGTATTTTTTTATGGATTTTGAAATACTGGTTTTAAACAATTTTTGTCACATTCTTTATCTTTTTCTTCGCATATTCGTCCGTTAAATAATCTCTACAAGTCTTCTTGGTTTTACAAATTATTAAAAACACAATAAATAGTAAATAATAAATAAACACATCAGTCTGGGTGCATGGTAGTAGTAGTACTAGATTCATCTACGGAAGCCGTGCTGGCTTCGTCCCACTCCGCGTGAGTGCTGTTATCGAACCCATAATAATCATCATCGATGGGTTCTTCCGTCGTGGTCGTCGAGATTGCTGCTAGTTCCGTCGTGGTCGTGGTTCGTTTACCGCCTTTTTTGTTCCCCTGAAATAGTTTCCCTTTGAAACCTTTCTTTTTATTCTTCCCCAATCCCGCCAATCTTTTGGGCCCCCCTCCATTTTTCCGTTTATTACCACCTTTATTGTTTTGGTTCGACACTCGCGAGCACTTTTCACCGTCCTCTCCCGAACATTTTTTCCCCGTTAATTTCTTATTGTTTTTTTTAACGCAAGGATCCGCGTGAGTACACTTTCGCTTCTTCTTTTTCTTTTTCTTCTTTGCCCCCATTGGGCACCGTGCTCCTGATGGACTTCCACCATCCGGTAAATCCGAGGGCGCATCCCTACAGTGGTGAGCCTCGTGCCTAATTGGATGAACATCCGGATGTGGAACCGTCGTCAAAGCTCGAGCATACGAAGCTAATTTTCCTAGATCCGCGTTCCCTCTTAAGACGAGCTTTCGCGTCTGCCCGTACCTGTTCATCGCGACGTACATCGTTTTGTTTACGTTTGAGTATTTCACCGAGGAGTAAGTGTTGTAGTTGTCCTCGTTGATTTTCTCTCTGAAGATGCATTCTTTCGTGACGTCTCTCTGAAATGAGGAAAAGAAGGTGAGATTAAAAACATGGTTAACGCTACACGTAAGGCGGTTGCTGACGCGAACCGACGATGACTTCAAAGAGACGTATAACAACCGCTTCTTAAATGTAAACATAATCGTTCATCTATAAATAACACTACGAGAAAGCGAGGAGGGACGATTTAAATCCTTCCCGATGATATAAATTGTTTAATAAACAAGGAAATGAAATTTACTGTGAAATAGTTCTTTTTTGATCCATAAATAACTCCAATATCATCATTTTATTGTCTCTTACGACAATAAAAGATCAAATACAAAAAATTACAACAACTAAGTTAAGGGAAACTAAGAAATAATTTTTGGCACAATAAAACTAGATTAAATTTGCTTCAAAATGCTTTCTATTTCGTCGTAATATCTCATTTTGATTTTGAGACACGATTTTTTAAAGTTTACTCATTTTTAATATAACCTCAATAAGTAGCAAATAAGCAGAGTGGGATTAAAAAAATCGTAACAACTAAGTTAATGGAAACTAAGAAATTATTTTTGGCACAATGAAACTAGATTAAATTTGCCTCAAAATGCTTTCTATTTCGTCGTAATATCTCATTTTGATTTTGAGATACGATTTCTTAAAGTTTACTCATTTTTAATATAACCTCAGTAAGTAGATAATATGCAAAGTGAGATTAAAAGAATCATAACAATTAAATTAATGGAAAGTAAGAAATTATTTTTGGCACAATGAAACTATATTAAATTTGCTTCAAAATGTTTTTTATCTCATCGTGATATCTCATTTTGATTTTGAGATACGATTCTTTAAAGTTAGCCATTTTTAATATAACCTCAATAAGTAGTAAATATGCAGAGTGTGATTAAAAAAATCGTAACAACTAAGTTAATGGAAACTAAGAAATTATTTTTGGCACAATAAAACTAGATTAAATTTCTTTTAAAATGCTTTTTATCTCATCGTGATATCTCATTTTGATTTTGAGATACGATTCTTTAAAGTTAGCCATTTTTAATATAACCTCAATAAGTAGTAAATATGCAGAGTGTGATTAAAAAAATCGTAACAACAAAGTTAATGGAAACTAAGAAATTATTTTTGCCACAATAAAACTAGATTAAATTTGCTTCAAAATGTTTTTTATCTCATCGTAATATCTCATTTTTATTTTGAGATACGATTTTTTAAAGTTTAGTCATTTTTAATAAAACCGTCATAAAAAACATCAAATTTAAAGCGGCTTAAAAATATTTTTGTAATTAAACCGTTAAAGTGGGAAACTTAAAATTTGGTATAACTTAACATCAAACATTCCTTTATAACCTCAAAAAGTTTCATTCCTCAATTCCAAACCATTTAAGAGAAAAAAAAATTTTTTATCTTAATTTTCAGAAAATGTTAAATTTAACCATCATAGATTTAAAAATTTTTTGTGAAAGAAATATTCATCCTGGAAGATTAAAATTTGATATAATCTATCCTCAAACAATCTTTTATAACCACAATAAGTTTTATTTCTCAATTCTTAGCCGTTGTAGAGAAAAAAAAATGTATTCGATTTTTAAAAACTCATTTTAGTTCATTTTATAATGGATTTTTTCAATAAAAATCCCATTGATTGTTAATAAAAAGTTGTAACTGAAAAAATATTTCTGCATCAATTCGTTACTCGAGAAAAAAGTTATGATTCGATTGCGGTTTGAAAGTTGCAAAAGAAATTTAATTAAAGATGACTTAACTTAACATGCCTAAGTAAAAATCTAGATTATCTTAAGGAAATGAAAAAGAGAAAGTAAATTAATCACTAATCATCCACGAAGTCCGGGTTCAAGGTGCTTAATAGAACGGTTTTCTATTTTTTTAACATACAAAGTATACAACCTTGTATAATAATAAATAATTACGTGGTTAATGCGTACTTGACATATTACAAGTAGATGTTAATTAATTAAAAATGTATAAATTAACTAAAAACGGAAATAAATAATAAAAATGTAAGTTTATTGACTCCGGACACTTTGCGAAAGAACCAATTTACTTTCGGCAAGATACAAAGGGGGTTTTAAAATTTAACGTTGACACGGTTATTGTTCGATGTGAATAAAAGCCGTTGTAATCGGGCTTTGTTAAATCCTCTTCGGAAAGATTTAGTTAAAAAAAAATCAAATAAAATATTGAACGATGAAAACGAAAGCAAAAAAAAAAAATAAATGAGGCTGCCTTATTAAACCTGTAACCCAGACATTATTCAACGGGGGGCCGTCACTACACCGACCCCGTTCATTAACATATTCTCTCAGTTGCGTGTTGCCCCACAGATTATTATAATCATTCGGATTCACTCTCGTTTCGAGTTGCATGCGGTAGGTTTGAGGTCATTTATCTTATTGCCCCAGATTTCGACAAATTAATTTATTATTTATAAGTTTTCTTGCGTTTTATGTGTTTGTTCGTTGCATTGCAGACGTTAGAGTTAGACAGCACAGTAATTATGCTATTTCTGAGACGTCAATAGCACTTAAAGTCCTCCACTTAACACTTTACTGGCAGCTGTGTATGATGGTACAATTAACACAGCAATTATAAACAGAGGCCGACGGCTACAACTTGTAATTACTTCAAACGATTTTTCTCGGCTTTTAATGTGTTGGCGCAATTTCCTCAATCATTTATTTCCCCGAATGAACTCTAAGTACGAAGTGATTATTACTTTATGGGAGTTAAATAGGAATGAGAGAAGAAAAATTGAGTTAAATATAAGTTTAAAATTGGCGGAGGTGCCGGGTTAAAGAATTATTTCGCAACTTGTTATGGATAAAATGAATTTGATGGTGTTGCTTACACAATTTATGTGCACCGCGAGTATTACACTCACTTCGAAACGAACCGGTTACCAACAATATAGCCGCATTAACTGAAATTCTAGGCAACTAGGTTGTGTCAGTATCGAATTTTACGACCATTTACTGTGATAAATGAAGAATGTAGTGCGCACCTGCGTTAGAAGTTGATTTTGAAACGAGAAAACAAGAAAACGATTTTTTTTTTGGTGAAGTGTGTCAAATAAATAAAGCGAATCTTAGTGAGTCTAAGAATTATTGTTGTTTTAAATTAAGATGTGGGTGCCCTAGAATTCACCTCGCCAAGGAATAAAATAAAAGCTTAAAGTGACTATAACTAATCTGTTTCTAAGTGAATTTGATTTGTAAGTGATTAACTCACCGATTCGTATAGTAAGCTAAAATTAAGAAATTAGCTTTGGCACAATAAAACTAGATTAAATTTGCTTCAAAATGCTTTTTATATCATCGTGATATCTCATTTTTATTTTGAGATACGATTTTCTAAAGTTTACTCATTTTTAATTTAACCTCAGTAAGTAATAAATATGCAGAGTGAGATTAAAAGAATCATAACAATTAAATTAATGGAAACTAAGAAATAATTTTTGGCACAATGAAACTAGATTAAATTTGCTTCAAAATGCTTTTTATCTCATCATGATATCTCATTTTGATTTTGAGATACGATTTTTTAAAGTTTAGACATTTTTAATTTAACCTCAATAAGTAATAAATAAGCAGAGTGTGATTAAAAAAATCGTAACAACTAAGTTAATGGAAACTAAGAAATTATTTTTGCCACAATAAAACTAGATTAAATTTGCTTCAAAATGCTTTCTATTTCGTCGTGATATCTCATTTTGATTTTGAGATACGATTTTTTAAAGGTTAGACATTTTTAATTTAACCTCAATAAGTAATAAATAAGCAGAGTGTGATTAAAAAAATCGTAACAACTAAGTTAATGGAAACTAAGAAATTATTTTTGGCACAATAAAACTAGATTAAATTTGCTTCAAAACGCTTTCTATTTCGTCGTGATATCTCATTTTGATTTTGAGATACGATTCTTTAAAATTTAGTCATTTTTAATAAAACCGCCATAAAAAACATCAAATTTAAATCGGTTTCAAAATTTTTTTGTAATTAAACGGTTAAAGTGGGAAACTTAAAATTTGGTATAACTTAACTTCAAACATTCCTTTGTAACCTCAAAAAGTTTCATTTCTCAATTCCAAACCATTTTAGAGAAAAAAAGTTTGTAACCTTAATTTTCAGAAAACGTCAAATTTAACCATCAGAGATTTAAACATCTTTTGTGAAAGAAATGTTCATTCTGGAAGTTTCTAATTTGGTGCAATTTATTCTCAAACAGTCTTTTAGAACCACAAAAAGTTTCATTTCTCAATTCGAAACCATTCTGGAGAAAAACATTTTTTTTGATCACGATTTTCAGAAAACGTCAAACGTAAATAACGTGAATCTTAATAAGTCTAAGAATTTTATTATTGTGTAAATTTGAAAGTGACTAACTCACCGATCCGTATAAAAATCCACAAGCATCCATGCACAGGTACATACACGTTGCTACACCTTGAATCTTCAATTGACCCACTCCAACTGCAGTTCTTTGTAGTACAGCTACAAAAAAAGATTATGAAACGCGAGTTTGTGCCATATAAAATGTAATAAAGAAATTAGGGATTATAAAAACCTGCCTTTTAAAACGTGACTTTTATTTAATTAAATTAATTATCGAGTATTTAGGAACAATAAAAAGAATTTGGGTTCCTTTCTCAAAGAAAACGAATCATATTTCAGTTATAACCCTCGTCTCTGGGCTGAATAAAGCGTTTTATATCGTTGGACAATAAAATAAATTACTTAAAACGCATAAAAAAAAATATAATTGTCCAAAAATAACCCCTTAACCGATTTAAATCCAACAAGAAATAGAGTCGATTAAAGTACAAAACAGCAAAATTCTAACCGGATTCGATTCGCCTCTGAAAAATTAACCCAGCTCAGTCATCGTTCTGCTAAATACTCAATTTAATAGATTTACGACTACTTTATTTTTAGACTTTTCGTGTCTACACCCATGTTTAATCGTGTAGACCACGTTTCTCGAAAGTTATTAATGATCCATATTAAATGGATATGTTTCAAGGAGACATCTGTTTTAAATTTGTAAATTTGCGGGGATGAATTTAATGATTGAAATTTATTTATCATTTATTAATACTCTATGGTTATCTATGATGGTAGATATGAGCCGTGTCTTAGAGCATTCCTGACCTATTTTGCACATACAAAGCCGTCGAGATAAGGCCAGACGGGGCCCAATATTAGACGCGGCCGATTATTTCTGCTCTGGAAGTGGAACGGTCAGGATTTCTTCGGGTTTTCCGGGTTGGCGTCCTGTCAAAGTGAGCCCTCCCGTTCGAATAAATAGTGATTATAGAAAAATCCCACCCTTAACGATTCGCGATAATTAAAAAATAAAAAATAATAATAATAAATTCTCGTTTCACTTAATTTGACTGCTTTTTATTCCTTCGATCAATATACAGTTTAATTAATCAATTCCTCTTGTGCTGGTGGATATCAACCGGTTCTTTCTCTTTCAACTTTTCTTAATTTCGTTTTCTTCCCCAAGTTTTGTTCTTATTCTGTCGAGTTCAGTCGTTCAATCTGGAACAAATAGAAGGAAAAAAAGTGTTTTAATTCGTCGAGCCTACGCAAGGTTGGGTTCATTTTCAAGGAGCTTGTTTTTACACGATTCTATTTAGACACGGTGTGGTTAAAAAGTTATCATTAAAGCCATTCTCTTTAGAGTACATTTTTTTAATAATAACTTGTAGTTAAAGATGAGTAAAATATTCTAATAATAACTATCATCACACTCTCTACGAGTCTATTCTAAAACGTCCCGTGGTTATTTTTAGTCGGAATTTACAACGAGGTTTACGTAAGACACGCCACTGACAATAGTAGTTTAACATTTCACGCGAAACAACAAAATTTATTAAGAATTTATTGAGCTTTTAGATACGATTTATTAAAGTTTTATTCACCAAAACGTATTGACCAAATTTTTGATGAAATTATTTATGGTGTGCTAAAACTAGAATNACGCATCTGACAATAGTAGTTTAACATTTCACGCGAAACAACAAAATTTATTAAGAATTTATTGAGCTTTTAGATACGATTTATTAAAGTTTTATTCACCAAAACGTATTGACCAAATTTTTGATGAAATTATTTATGGTGTGCTAAAACTAGAATAAATTTGCTTTAAAATGATATATAAATCATCATGATATCTCAAATACCTTTTGAGATACGTTACTTTCTATCATTATGAATATATCAATATTTATTAAGGTTGAAGAATTGAATAAAAAATCATAATGAAGATATTTATAGAAACGAAGAAATCATTTTTTGCATGCTAAAAACATAACAATTTTCCTTTAAAACGCTTTTTATCTCATTATCATATCTTAACTAGTTTCTGAGATATGCTTGATTAAATTTTATATCTGATCGATCTAAATGAGTGTGATTCAAAAAATCGTATCGTCCAAATTTATGGATACTAACAAATTATTTATGGAGTGCTAAAACTAGATTAAATTTGCTTTAAAATGATATATAAATCATCATGATATCTCAAATAATTTTTGAGATATGTTACTTTCTGTCATTAAGAATATATCAATATTTATTAAGGTTGAAGAATTGAATAAAAAAATCATAACAACGATGTTTATAGAAACGAAGAAATCATTTTTTGCATGCTAAAAACATAACAATTTTCCTTTAAAACGCTTTTTATCTCATTATCATATCTCAACTAGTTTCTGAGATATGCTTGATTAAATTTTATATCTGATCGATCTAAATGAGTGTGATTAAAAAAATCGTATCGTTCAAATTTATGGATACTAACAAATTATTTATGATGTGCTAAAACTAGATTAAATTTGCTTTAAAATGATATATAAATCATCATGATGTCTCAAATACTTTTTGAGATACGTTACTTTCTATCATTATGAATACATCAATATTTATTAAGGTTGAAGAATTGAATAAAATAAATCATAACAACGATATTTATAGAAACAAAGAAATTAATTTTTACATATTAAAAACATAACAATTTTCCTTTAAAACGCTTTTTATCTCATTATCATATCTCAACTAGTTTCTGAGATATGCTTGATTAAATTTTATATCTAATCGATCTAAATGAGTGTGATTCAAAAAATCGTATCGACCAAATTTATGGATACTAACAAATTATTTATGGTGTACTAAAACTAGATTAAATTTGCTTTAAAATGACATTTATATCATCACGATTTCTTAACTAATTCTTGAGATACGATATCATACATCCTTATTAATAAAAAATTAATATTTATCAAGGGTGCAGAATTGAAGTAAAAAGATGTTGTGAATGAGATTTATGGAAGTAAAGATATTATTTCTTAGACTCTAAAACTATATTAATTTTACTTTAAACTGCTTATGGCGATATCTCGTTTTGAATTTGAGATATGACATAATTATTAATACAATTCTAAATCAATCATGCATTTCAATTGAGTCTCTAAATACAATAACATACAAAACTTGAAATCATACGAAATAAGGCCACGATTGCCACACCATAAGAAGAAAACATTCAGATTATTTTGCAGATCCAGGACATCGTTAATTGGTAAAGCGAGAACTTTTGAAAAGAATCGATTAAGGAGATTGTTAAGCAGGATGTTGGGTAGGACAGTGCCCTATATTATTAACGGCTTATAAAATCATTAATCGAAAAAGAAGGGATTACAATTTATAAGCTTGATAGTCCTGGTGATTTTATCCTCATAAACAGAAGTAAAAGAGAAAGGGAGGTGAAAACAAGCTCAATCGCAAAATTAAGAATAACAAATCATCATAACTTTGTAGGTACAAAATAAAGATATCTAAAATATCAAAATTTATGATGTTTGTGACTGAAATGGGGAATAACTTATAAACTAAAATAGATAGAGGAAAACGGCAAGAATGAACGTAATTCAGAATGAAGGCCAAAATACACGTGCATAAACAACTTCAATCCAGCTGTGGCCAATTTTTAGCTACAAAGCATAATTTCAAAAGTAAAATTTTTATTCTAAAAGTTAATGATAACCCAAAAACTAATAATGATGGAGAAACATCTTATATATATATATTGGTCATAATGAATCATAAAAACATTATCCATAATCATGTTAAAGCCAGTTATCATCATTTTGTAGATACAAAGTAAAAATGTCTAAAATTACAAAGTGAACGATGTTTGTTGTTTCAGTTGGGAAAAACTCTAAAATTAAAGATGATGGAGAATCACGTTATACATGAAAATTATTCAAAATGAACCAAACAAACATAATCCATAACTGCTTTAAACCTAGCTATCATCGTTTTCTTCGTACAAAGCAATAAACCTAAAAAATTCGATTTATTTTCGAAATGTATTATGAACGATGTTTGTTGTTTGAATTGAGAATAACTCAAAAATTAGATGTGATGGAGAAACACATTATATATCAATAATGCTCGTAATGAACCATAGAAACATAATCCATAACTATATTAAAGCTGATTATCATGTTTTCTAAGATATAGGGTAAAAAAGCTCGAAACATCAAAATAAATGATATTTGTGAAGAAATCCAGAATAACTCAAAAACTAAAATCGATGGAGAAAAGTGATATGTATCAAAATATTTCGAAATGAACCTAAATTTGTATATCCATAAATAGATTAAATTTAGTTGTTTCTGTTTTGTAGATACAAAGCAATAATTCTATAAATTGCAAAATTGACGAATTTTGATTGAAAAAAACTATCATAATTTAAAAATTAAAGTCGATTGGGAAATAAGTTATGTATAAAAATTGTTTGTAATGAACCATAAGAACACAATCCATAACTATATTAAAGCTGATTATCATGCTTTCTAAGATATATGGTAAAAAAGCTCAAAACATCAAAATAAATGATATTTGTGCAGCAATCCAGAATAACTCAAAAACTAAAATCGATGGAGAAAAGTGATATGTATCAAAATGTTCCGAAATGAACCTAAATTTATATATCCATAAATAGTTTAAATTTAGCTGGTTCTGTTTTGTAGATACAAAGCAACAATTTTATAAATTGCAAAATTGACGAATTTTGATTGAAAAAAACGATCATAATTTAAAAATTAAAGTCGATTGGGAAATAAGTTATGTATAAAATTTATTTGTAATGAACCATAAGAACATAATCCATAACCATATTGAATATGATTATCATGCTTTCCAAGATATAGAGCAAAAATCCCCGAAATTTTAAAACATACGATATATGTTACTGAAATCTGGAATATCTCAAAAACTATAACAGATAGAAAAAGGTGGGATACATAAAAATGTCTCAGAATTGATCTAAAGTATATATTCACAAATAATTAAAACCAAGCTGTGATTATTTTTTAAGAAGAAAGCAGCTATTTCCCAAATTTTAAATTAAATGAATTTTATTGTAGAATGTAGCTGAAATCAAGATTATCTCAAAAATTAAAATCGATAGATGAAAATGATATGAATAGAAATTGTTCAGAATAAATCCCAAAATCATATCCATTTTTGAGTTAGTTGAAGTTATAAATATTTTGGAAGAACTAGCCTCGAAACTTAAAATGTTTTCGGGTTGTATTAAAAAATGAAATTAATTAGAATAATTAAAAATAACGGAACGATGGAGAATCTCGTTATATATGAATATTATATCCGATTTAGACCGATTTCGTGTCTTAACGCCATCATCAGGAGATTTATATTAATTTTTTTAATTTTGTTTTGATATCATTTGAAACAATTACGAAGTAAAACAAAATGTTGGCTGTGTAAATTGAGCACGCGATAACGACACGTTACTTGAGCAGTATCGAGTTGTTGGCATTGTTTGCGATCAGCTACTGACCCAAATTGTCATCGTAATGGGACCTTTCACACTCCAACAGTTCCAGTATTAATTACATAAAATTTTCTTATCCCAATCATTAATAGTAAAAGTATCATTACCTTTATAGAGTAAATAAAAAAGTTTCATTTTCAAAAATCTCTTATAACAGGATCTTAATAGACTATAAATTCAGTTTTAATTCGTTCCAACTGTTATGCTAACATGTGATGCTTCATCATAAATTGAAAATGAACATGAAAAGCTTTCCACTAAGTGCTTGTTTATTTATGAACACGTAAAAGATTACCGTGTTTTTGTTATTAATTAGAAGTCTTAGCAAAAAATGGCGTTATTTGTTGTTGGAGTCATATATTGTGAAATTAAAAAATTAATAGATTTTAAAACGAAAGTGTTTTCACTTCGAAATGACCTACTATTGTTATTGTTCTTGGTGTTATTTATGATTTTAATCGTTAATCATTTAGAGAAATGTCAAGAAAATCGTTAAAATTAAATTTGATTCATTTAAAAAATGCGATTAAAATAATCTCGTGGAATTTTTACGTTATTCGCATACTCTCGATTATCTTCGCAGTTTTAATTTATCAAAGGGCACGTGCCGTTATCGTCCACTCACCTCCTCCGGTATTTCGCACCAAACCTCTTCCAAATTAAAAATCAAATAAGAAAATTTTCATTTTTAACTTTTCCATTTAAACGTAGTTCCTTTATTATACACTAGAAACTAAATTAAATTAAATTTTACAACAAACTAAATTGTAACAATTAAATTAAATTAATAATTAAACGCCAACATGTTTCGCGTCACGTAGTGCAAATTTTTTTTTTATATTAATAATAACGTAATGCTCGCGTTATTTTGAGACGATTTCCTTATCTTTAAAGGAATAAGATTTAACTCTCCGCAGAAACCCGCGAATACGAAACCAACTAAAAGCAAAGCACGTGCCTGGAGATCTCCACAACTTTAGAGCGTGGACTGCTCTACGCGACGTCCAATATACAACTGTTCAGCCTGTTCAGAAGGTTCAGAATACTCAGCAACGCGGAGTCTCGTTCAAATCTAAGTAGTAAGGGACGTGTGTTCTCCGTGACGTATTCTGACGTCATTATAAAAAAACGGCGGGATTCCCAGACGACGACATCGACACCAGTAACATCAGCAGAATTAGATCCATCACTTTGGGTAAATTCCCCAAAACCACCTTGATTGTGGATACATATAAATTGATGTAAGTTAATAGTTGATGGATGAAATTGGGTATGGTGGTAATGACATTGACCTCCTGCGGTTCCTGCGGCGCCAACGACGACTCGCGTTGTACCGTTTTTGAGCTGCGTGACAATCATTTCTATAATATAATCGTTGAATTAATAAAAAAATTTGATTCGGTGAGATTTCGTTCATAAATAAGTTTTTTATTGTGAATAATGTTTTCTTTATCGCCGTGTTTTGAGCGGGCACTTCAACAAGTGTCAGAAAGATCAAGACGATGAATAATGAATTGTAACGAGGGAATAATACAAAAATTTAAATTCCATATTATGTATTACAATCAAGGAATACAAGATTGAAAGTACTTCGCACTTACATCATAAAGAAGAAAGTTATTCTACGAATTAAATTATTCGTCACCAATAAAATAAGAGAAACATCGATTTTGACATTCCTCACAATTTCATTGTCTCTGAGTTAAAAATATTTCTTATCCGAAATATTTCATTCCAAGATTTTTATTTCACGATTCTTGTAATTCTTTGAATTACAAGCTTCTAAGTTGGCAACATTGGAGGATGACTAAAAATCTTCTATTCTAATCATTTTTTGGATTAATTATGCATATTTTTTATTCATAACAATTCTGCCCATCTGATTTAATTTCCACTTTAAACCAATTTTAATAACAAAAGCATCAAATTTGGGATTTTTCTTGATATTAGCGTTTCTAAGTTGGTACTCACAAACGATGTATTAAAACTGATTATGGTAATCATTTTTTAGATCAATTAGAAACCTTTTTTATCCGAAACATTTCTTTCTAACATTTTTATTTCTCGATTTATAACCTAATTTAAAACGAGAAACATCAAATTTTAAATTTTTCAGGAAATTACCGTTTCTAAGTTGGTACTCACAAACGATGTATTAAAACTGATTATGATAATCATTTTTTCGATCAATTAGGAACCTTTTATATCTGAAACATTTCTTTCTAACATTTTTATTTCTCGATTTATAACCTAATTTAAAACGAGAAACATCAAATTTTAGATTTTTCGGGAAATTACCGTTTCTATGTTGGTACTCATAGACGATGAATTAAAACTGATTATGCTAATCATTTTTTAGATCAATTAGGAACCTTTTTTATCTGAAACATTTCTTTCTAACATTTTTATTTCTCGATTTATAACCTATTTTAAAGTAAAAATCGTCAAATTTCAATTTTTTTAGGATTACAAACCTCTAAGATGATGATATTGAAGAATGAGTTAATATCTTTAATTCAAAACATATACAAGGTTAATTACGAACATTTTTTATCAATAACAATTCTTTCCATCTTATTTAATTTCCAATTTAGAACCAATATTGATAAGAAAATCATCAAATTTAAGATATTTCGGGAAATTAGCGTTTCTAAGTTGGTACTCATAAACGATGCATTAAAACTGATTACGCTAAATATTTTTTCGATGAATTAGGAACCTTTTTTATCCGAAACATTTCTTTCTATCTTATTTAATTTTCAATTTAGAACAAATTCTAATAATAAAAACATCAAATTTGAAATTAGTTAAGTTTTTGTTGTTTCTAAGTTGGTAATTAATTATTACAGGTAAAAATTTGTTATGATAATCTATTTTAAGCTTAATTACGAAGATTTCTTATGTACATAATTACTTTTATCTTATTTAGTTTTCCACTTAGAACCAATTGAGATAACAAGAACACCAGTTGTGAGATTTTTCTTGAAATCGATGTTTCTAAGTTGGTAAGCATAAAATGAAACACTTTTTTTGTATATTTCATTTTTCAAAAACCTTTTTGTTCAACAAGCAACATGCAAAACTTACATATTATTATTTAGTTTAAGTCATGTTAGCTTTCTTAACCAACCACAACATGTTTCCAATCAATTAGTATCATTTTGACACACCCCAACAAGCATTTTCAATTTTCTGGTATCTTTGAAACATTTCCAATATGCATCAAAATGATTTTATTTAATTTTTTCATCCTCATTAAGTATTTTTGAGATGATTTTTATCGATTAGAACCATTTTGACTCACACCAATCAGTTTTTTCCATATTTTAATATTTTAAAACTTTTTTGAAAACATCACCTTTATCATTATTAAGTTATTTTGACCTTTTTAAGCAACCTCAGTATGCTTTCAATCAATTAGTACCATTTTGACACACACCAACAAGCATTTTCCACATCCTAGTATCTTTGAAGCATTTTCAAAATCCACCAAAATAATTTCTTTTAGTTTTATCATCCTCATTAAGTATTCTTGAGATGTTTTTAATCGATTAAAGCCATTTTGACTCACACCAATCAACGTTTACGATTTTCTAAAGTTTTTGTATTTCTGGAAAACATTCTCTTCAAAGTTATTATCTTGTTTTCTTAACCTTAAGGTGTTTCTGATTGATTAGTCACGTTTTTATATTTATTAAAAACCTATAAGAAAAATCAAAGAAACAATTGACAATCATCTGTCATTTTTTTCTTTAAACACTTATATTTCAGCTGTTTTTAAAGATAAGTATATCGTGTTTGGACTCGTTTTAAAGGATTTTTAACGAAGATTGCGAATTTTTATTAATTAAAGTTACCAAATCTAAATAATTTCGGACAATAAAGAAATATTATATTTTTTAAGTGTTTTTATCGCTACAATGAAATATTTATTATAATAAATAAAATAAAGTTAGCTAATATTGAACATAAATCACTATCAATGTTGCGTTAGAAATGTATAAAGTTTTATAACCTTGGTGGCATGTTTTCCTATAAATCCAAATAAAATTAAATAAATACTACTTTAGCGATATACTAAAAATATCCTTGGGAAAATAAAACGGTGTTTAAATTAACAACAAACAGCGTAGCAATTTTCTTAGAACATACCTGAATATTAACACGTAACAAACCACGTACGCTAAGCTTATGAATATGCTGAAACGAATTTTCCCCGAACAGAAATCGTATCTGACCCAAGTCACGCGTCGGAAAATTTCGTGCCATTTATCATGGCCAAACGTTTGATTCACCCATTTTCGCGATTACATAAAACAGATTCCTTATTAATAAATAACCACATCATATGCCGCGGTTTTTTATCTCGATTTAATCCAAAACTGTATCAAAGTCGATTGTGATACGATTACACCAGACGTTGTCTAATTACGTTTATAACAAATCGTTATCGTTTTTGTCGATCAACGTTCTCACAATAGTTTTACGTTCTACTTCTACAACAATCGAGTCGATCAAATCGATAAGTATCTCTCTCGAAAGCTATAACCAAATGTGAGGTCAATGTCTGAGAGAGTTTGACTTCCTGAATGAAAGGTTTGGGTTTTAACGAAAATTTATTTAGGAACAGTTTAAAATTGACCGCCGTTGTCTGAATCTGAGCCAACACAAACAAATTAGTGGAGAAAAGATAATGTTACAAAATAAAAATTGCCGAAAAATTTCTTTTAAACTCAATTAAGTGGTTTTTCCTTAAAACATTGACCTAAATTCCCGAACATCGCGTTGTGACGTAAAGGAAACGTGTGCTTTAGTTATTTTAAGAGGATACAATCGCGAGGTTAAAAGGAGTTTTAACGACCTAAGCTGACTGATTCTATTAGAATTCTTATGAAAAAGAATGCGGGACATAAATGTTTATTGTAATAGTTGTGAAAACGAGGAAATGTAGGCTCAAAAAAAGAAAACTCATATAGCATAATAGAAATATGTAAACATTTTGGTCCACCCACGTTGAAAGCTTAAGAATAGCCGAGATCCTGGACGTGCTTTTCCTCGCGTAGGAAAGTCACTAACTTCTTAGAATTTACGAGGTGATTTTATGTTTAACATTTATTATTTTCAAAACGAAATGAAATTTTCAAAAACGGTTTAGTGCATTTAAAAGAAGACATCTTTATTTACAAATGCTGTAAGTTGCAAAATGATTGTTGAATAAATCGATTTTTAACGATTTTTTTAATGGAGCGATGAAAAGTGTTTATTCCAAAATATGGCAACAAATTTGATTAAGTTTAATACTTATTATCTCCTAAACGAAATGAGATTTTCAAAAACGGTTTGATGTATTAGAAAGAGGAGATCTTGCTTTATAAATGTTGTAAGTTTCAAAATCATTGTTGAAGAAATCGATTTTTAACGATTTTTTTTAATCGAGTTGTTTTTCTGAAAATATTGCAATTTGGTCAAGTTTAACAATTGTTATCTCCTAAACGAAATGAGATTTTCAGAAACGGTTTGGTGCATTAGATAGAGGAGATCTTTGTTTATAAATAATGTAAGTTTCAAAATGATTGTTGAAGAAATCGATTTTTAACGATTTTTTTTAATTGAGTTGTTTTTCTGAAAATATTGCAATTGGGTTAAGTTTAACAATTGTTATCTCCTGAACGAAATGAGATTTTCAAAAACGGTTTGGTGCATTAGAAAGAAGAGACATTTGTTTATAAATAGTGTAAGTTTCAAAATGATTGTTGAAGAAATCGATTATTACCGATTTTATTTTAATCGAGTTATTTTTCTGAAAATATTTCAATTTGGTTAAGTTTAATAATTATTATTTCCTAAACGAAATGAGATTTTCAAAAACGGTTTGGTGCATTAGATAGAGGAGATCTTTGTTTATAAATAATGTAAGTTTCAAAATTATTGCTGAAGTAATCGATTTTCAACGATTTTTTTTAAATAAGTTGGTTTTCTGAAAATATTGCATTTTGGTTAAGTTTAACAATTATTAT